TGAGTGGTTCGCATGAGATCATATGGGTAGTTCACATAAGATCTATGGGTGGTTCACATAAGATCGTATGGGTGGTTCACATAAGATCGTATGAGTTGTTCACATAGATAGTACGAGTCGAGACATGGGAAAGGAAAGAGGGGAGGAAAGAAGGGGAGGAACACTCGAGAAATTGGGACGGAGAAGGTGAAGGTGAACGGGAAGCGGGGCAAAAGAAGGGGGGGGGGGGGAATGAAACAGGACTCACCCTTAGACGATGGGCGATTATAAGTACAGTAGCACCCTTAAATTCATCATGTACAACTCTACTAACCTCTTTATCAGTAGCGGAATCGATAGATGCTGTAGCTTCGTCCAATATCAATATCTTATGTTTTTTCAATAATGCTCGAGCAAGAACTACCAGTTGTTTTTGACCCGCTGAGAGACTATCTCGTCAGTATCTTTTCCATATCATACAACTCTTCACCCTCCACCATGAATAAATCCGAATGACAGAGTTCAAACGACATGTGTTGGGAATGGGGCAAAACCATCCGATTCTCGATGTCCCATTCAAGGATAGAGAGGAGAAAAGTTGTAATGATGAAGAACGAAACAATACTCACTTTTCTCCCCCTGACTTGATCTCCGTATCAAGATTAGAAAAGATATTAGTACTTTGTACTTCAACCACAGTCTGTTCGCTATTCGGAGTAGGTGGACGTGTTTGTTCATCCTCTTTAAGCAATTGAACTTGTCTCAAAGCTTCGTATAACTCCACATCATCGTATTTACCTTCAATGTCGAGGTTTAGACGTAAAGAGCCAGAAAGAAGAATAGGGTCTTGTGCTATGATTCCGAGTGAAGAACGAACGGCACCGAGTGGGATGGTTGAGATGTCTTTTTTATTAGCCTTGTCACATGATCTTACATCACTGTTTCTCATACTGGCTCTCGGTCAAAACGAGAGGAAAAGCCGATAAGTGAAGATCATCGAGGATGGGGAAGGTTGAAGTGATCGGACGACCAGCAGCTCGACAAAAAACGAGAAGGGAAATCACTCACCCAAACCGTCAATCAATATAACACCTTTAATGACATCCACAAATGAAAAGAAAGCTTTGGCCAAGGTAGATTTCCCTCCACCCGTAGCACCCACGATTCCTACTCTTTCTCCACCTTTCACGTCGAACGAAACCCCATGTAAGATTTCAGGAAGATCAGGACCATATCTCGCACATAAATCTTTCACTTCTATATCACCCGTCCTTGGCCAATCTTCTGGAACATCTTTATATCCCGCTATATCATCTGATCCTTCGACTCCTAAAGGTTCCGTATCTTCTTTCTCCAATTCACGATACTCAGCAGTTCGTTCCAAGCTCACACCTTTTAGTTCGAAAGTGCGGAGATTTATCAACGCCCAATTGACGTTGGTGGTAATGTTTCTTGCGAAACCAAGGACGAATCCAGCTGTAGCGCCAGTCATGTTGGGTTGAGAAAGGATGAGAACAAAAGCGGTGAAAACTATGACGATGTCCATAACACGAAGATTGACTAACGGTCAGTCACAGGTCATTCCTTGGTGTGTAACATGAGATACAAGCATCCGGAATTGAAGGGGGCAGGGGGAAAAGGGAAGAGGGAGAAGACTTACTAAATAGCCATCGTTGGATGTAACTTGCCCAAGCTTTGGCGGCAATACGCATATTGATAGATCGCATCAATTCTACGGAGTCAGTCAAAGCCATTATCATTGAAAATCGTGGTTCATGACTGAAGGGGTAATATGTTTGTAAGGGCTCGAGCCATGAACAAACTTACCTTCCATGAACACTGATTGTTGACCAAATGCACGGATCACAGCAGTCCCAGCGACTGTTTCTCCATAAATGGCATTGATAGGTCCAGGAATGACAGCTTGTAATCGTCGGACTTGTCGAGAAGAAGATCTATACCATTGACCCTGTTCTTGTCAGTCACAACAAATAAAACAATGTAATAACTTACAGGTCTCCAAATGGCAGCAATGAGGGAAATTGAAATTACCAAAAACAGCCATCCACCGTAATAAGAAACGGACGCTAAACTGATGACGACTCATCATATCAGCTAAATTTCCTACATCTATCAACACGCTTACTGGTCAACATGATTTCCAGCATTTCCGCCAATAATTCAGAGCAATAAACTGTATCATCCTGACTCGTCAGCTTCTAAATTAATCACATTTCCAAGCTTACCAAGTCAGTCCCGAAACGTTGTACGATGGAACCTGCGCGAGTCTTGGTGAAGAATAACATTCTAGCACGAAGAAGACTATCGAGCATTGCGGCGTGTATCTTTTGAACGTAAGCTTTCCGGTCCTACCCCGAAGTGTATGCGATGACTTACCGACTTGCAAGCATGGATTCCACCCCAAAATCGTATCAACCCCGTACCAGAATCAAGAAGCACAGTTCCGAGAGCAATCTACCCGTCAATCTACGCAACACTTATGGAGACAAGATACTCACCGCAGCATAGAGTGTCATCCAATGTACGATGGAGGATAGAGGGAGGACTTCTGTTGTCTCTTTCGAAGTCCATAATCTGTCAAGTCAGATTCCATCTGTAGTAGAGGTGAGGAACCTTCAAACTCACTTCAAGACACCTCTCTCCGCAACGGGTGCCAAACAACCCATAACTACCAAAGCTATCATTCCAGCCCAGAACCCACCTCCTCCATTAAATCTCATGAGTTGTTTCCAATGTTTCAACTCAACACTTCCTTTAGCTTGTTTCTCTTCGATGATCAATTGTCGAGGAGTTTTAGGAGTGGCCTCTTTAATTTCGAAAGTACTCTTCTCCACATCCGCTAGTGAACCTCTACGTTCCATATTGATCGGGGCTGATGTATCTGCTGATGAGGTAATCTTGTCAGATGTAAGATGGGCCATATGGTTGCTGGTGAGTAAGTCTGGACCTGCACCAGACCAAATCACTTGACCATCGTCGAGGAAAATAGCACGATGAGCCAAAGGTGCGAGAGCTTCAACAGCATGAGAAGCGATTATCACCGTTCGTCCAGTCATGAGACGACCACGGAAACAATGATTGACGATATGTTGAGAAGTTTCGGCATCTACGGCTGAAATGACATCGTCCAGGAGTAAAACGCTGGCTCGAGAATAAACCGCGCGGGCAAGAGATACTGTGTGGTCAATTGGAAAATATCTTGAGTGAAGTTTCACTCACCCCGTGCTTTCTGACCCCCCGACAAAATTTTACCACGTTCACCAATCTCAGTCAAGTCCGCATCTTCTAATAACTCGAGGTCAGGCATGAGACCGGTTGCCTGTGACGAGATCAGCACATGTGTAAATATGAAGAATGTAGGACTCACGAAGAGAACTTCACGGTAACGAGTCATGTCCATTGGCAAACCGAATAAAATATTGTCCCTGATGCTCAAACTCTGTAGCCAAGGGGTCTGTATTCGTAAGCATTATCATTTGTAGAAAAGTGGACAGAACTGACCTGAGGGACGAAAGCCACGCCGCGTTTGGCCAAAGTAGTCACATCCACTCTGCTCGCGTTGAGGGGGTTCAAAATGGGTGATACTGCATAATTGATTTTTCCGCTGAGTAATTTTGCTTCGCCCAAAAGTGCCAATAACAACATGGTTTTGCCCGATCCCACTTTACCTGCCACCAAGGTGATCTCGCCGCGGGTGAAGTGAAGGTTGAGATCATGCAATCGGAATTTGACGGCTGGAGTCGGAGCAGTGGATCCGTTTTGCGAATCACTCGATGGCTGACTTTGTGAGGGATGGTCGACGTCCCAACCGACTGTACCGATGATGTAAAGATCACGATCTTCAGTAGATGAGCTCTCATTCTCATCTCCTAAATGAGCCGAGGCATATGACGAAGAAGTTCCTTCTAGATAGTCGACATCACGAGTACGAAGGAAAGTGCCGATACGTTTGGCTGAGAGGATCTCTTGTAAGATTTGAGCCATATTCATGGGGAGATTGTAAAGTACGGGACGTAATTCTGCAAATACAGCAATAGACGTCTGTCCATGAGCTCTACTATTGACCGGACCGACATATTTCAGGTACTTACGAAAGCGACAGCTGCGGTGAGGTCTTTCTTTGCCACTAGGGTGTAATGTGCAAAGGCCACGACGACGACGATAACAGGAGTCACAGAGCTATCAAACGTCAGTCCAGAATCATCAGAAAAAAAGAAAGAACGGACTAAAGCAATGCACTGAGGAATCCTAAAAGACGTGCTTGGATCCATCGAGTGAATTCTCTATCACGAACGGTCTTGATACGTCTGAACCACCATCGCTCCGCGGCCATCATCTTGATCATCGAGATCGCCTGAATTGCTTCTTGCATAAGGGTAATCTTTTCATCTTTGACTTCTAAACGTTTTTCGAAGACTTTGTATTGATATTTGGTGACCAGATATGCAGGTGGTAAGGTGACAACTATCGTAGACAGACCCCATAGACCTGACATACCTTCACCGTCAGCGAACATGATCCAATATATGACTGAAATCGGCCCAAGGAGGTTGAGGACTTACCGAGAAGCATCCACACGTAAAAACAACCCAGGAACATCTCCAAACACGTTTCCAAAGTACTCACGAATGTCCATCCAAGCGAAGCCAGACGGCTAGAGTCGGACGAAATCAAGTTGAGAATGTCAGCTTTGGTCGTAGCAATTTTCTCTTTTCCTTTTGGATCCACAGGAGCCGCAGCCAACGTATTGCGTGTTAAGAGTTTTTGATAGAGTAGGAAAGCTGTATGTGCTGAGATTTGAGGTTCCACTCCGAATGTGGCGCTGTAATTGTCAATGTGGAACGTACAGATGAAATGAGGATGAGTACCCACATGTTGTATTGTTGCAATAAGCAGATCAGAGCGGCGATGCGAACCAAAACCAGCAAGACGCCAAATGCTACGGCGTTGACTCGAGGTAAATCCGAATCGAGGATTTCGAGGATCTTTTGGGTCGCCCAATGTGGGGCATACCACATAGGGACAATGGCGAATGCCAAAGCGAAGTCTATTCAAATCAGCCACGTGAAATACCGAGATGTGGTCAAACTCACATTTGGTCAGTTGCCAACGTCGAGGAGCCCATACCATCCACATCAACTCGCTTGTCGGTCCTCGTCGTTGAACCCACTCAGGTACAGTAACCTTAGCCACTTCCGGTAAAACATTCTGCGTCCTCATATGCGCAGGAAGTATGGGCAAGTCGTCCACATCCACTTGTTCTTTTTTAGCTGTTTTCATGACCATAGGAAAGACGAATGTAAACATTACTTGTCCTAAGATGGTGCTTGAAACGCTTTGGATGACATTTGCGGCATAAGGCATATTGGCATCTTTTAGCTTGGCAGACAAGGCTTTGTTGTATAATTTAGTCATATCTTGATTGAGGTTGGGTCCGATGGGTATGAGGATAGCTACGCAGAGCTGCAGAAAGGATAATAGAAGAGCTAGGTGTTCGGTCCAGTGGGACGGGGCGGTGGGTAGAAGAGATAAAGCTTGACCGAGTGTGAACATGTACCAAGTGATGAGATGAATAGTGATAATGGTCGATAAATGCTTGGTGAGTGAGTCATGATGCTTTACTGATTTGGTGAGGACGAAACAGGTTGACAATGAAAGTAAATAAGTGATGGTGACTGTGTCGATGATGAGTTTGGCGAACGCTTGAGGGTGTCGTACTTCTGGCAAGAGGAACAAGACATCACGATAGACCTGCACTGCTAACCCAGCAGCCAAAAGAAGCCACAAGACAATCTTCCGCCACGTGACCTATAAAGTCAGCGGGAAGAAATGATGTCAGAGATCCAAAAATGACTCACCTTTCGCCAAAAACCGGGGAGATCTATGGGATCTCCATCATGTTGAAGACTGGGATCGACATGCGATACAAGAAGAGCTTCAAACTGTTTTATTTTGGGGAGGGGCGGTTCAGCTTTGTCAGGAAGGCGAAGTTCTCCCTGACGTCTCTTGCGGAACCAAGCTAGTAGAAGGATACCGAGGGAGAACAAAACCGTGGTTTCGAGCATACCAATGAAGGCATAGTCGGCGATGGTTAGCCACAGAGGGGGAGATGGATATTCGAATTGCGGGGATACCATGATGATGAAGAAGGACAAGAAATGAGGTTGTCTTGGGGGGACGGAGAATAGATTTGACGACTCCGCTTTGTACACATATAGAAATCGTTTGATATAAATCGTCAAGAGTGGTAAAAGGAGCGCCCAACAAAGGATCCGTACAGGAGATGATCAACGAGTACCGATGAGGTCGGCTGGAAGATAGAGACGATCGAAAAACATGAACGATCCTTGCCGCATTGTAGTCGCTCCTTTGATCTTCCTCCTTTCATAGACGAGGAGCTGAAACCAGTCAGAGGATGTCGGAGACCAATTATCGTATATTGATACAAAGAGGATTTCGCCTTTGTTCAGTCGGTCGAAGACCGTGTCGTTCGAGGAAAATGTCGAGCCAACCTCCTCCCGGTGAGTATCACATTTCGTAATATGCCGAAAAGTCTTGCGCTGAATCACAGCTGGTACCAGACCGAGGTCTACTCCCAGAGCACCCAAGTCAGCGTTGGAGAACGTGACTGCAGCATGGAAAGACTCCGGGAAGTATTGGAAGGACCTGAAAAAAGATCTCAAGCCTTGGGTAGGGGACGTTGATGAGCTGTACAAGTCGGCGGTGAGCGCGTTCGTGAAGACGACGTTTTTCCATAGCTGATTCGAGTAGGCGAAATACGTCGATGACACAGTAAGTGTCGGCGAAGAAAGGAGCGAAGGTGAGACTGAAACGTAAAGGTCAAGCAATATAACACGGCGTTCCGCACCTACGCGACTCAGCCAAACTGGATCACCACTCACAGTTTGATTGAGAGAAACGCAGGAAAAGCAGCGATTGTCGTGGTAGGACTTGCCGCACTGCAATCGTCAGTACTTCGTCTGAAGAGCATTCCTCGAGACAGGATGGCTTACGATATAGTCTGGTTCCCCTTTTCAATCTACCGCTTGACATTCTATGTAAATGGCTCAGCTTCGACTTGCTCTTCAAAACCGGTCAGGAAGTCGTCAAAAGGGGCTGGAGTAGTAGTCGCGCGAGTCCGAACAAAGCCAAGACGCTTCTTCTCTGTTGTGTGGCCGTCTGCACCGCGCAATATGTCCCACATTTGTTGTATGATACGTCGCTCGATTTCGGTGCCATGTGGCATTTCACATTACCAATCTTGTTGATGTGTCACAAAGATAGAAGCAAGCCAGATGACACGCTGGCGGTGATGCTTTGGGACTATGCTTCTGGTTATCTGCAAGGGATCATCAAGCGTTTACCGCCCCTCTTCATAGTGAGTAATGATCAAGGAGGTACTTGGTATCAAATTCTGTTGCTGACGACAAAGGATCCCAAAGGGCCGAATCTTGTAAGCGATGACTGCTTGTTCATAGGACATGTTATAGATCTGACTTTCAGACATTGCCGGCAGGAGTGATCATCGGAGTTCTTCTGTGAGTGGTTTAGGTTTTCATGGTGTCAAATCTGAAAGTTTAGTTGGCAACGTCACATCTCCGTCAAGGCAGTTCATATCATAATCTACGCCATCATGGCAGTGACGACGATCAAGAATATAGACAAGCTCAGGGTGGGGGACTTACAAGATCAAGACATTGAAAAACGATATCGGACAAAGTTGGAGGATTGGTATAATCTTTTGGCTATTTGGCTATGGCGTTACTTGCTCAACATGTTACATGGTATCCGTCTGCCCGGTTTCAGCATGCCGGATTTGATTTCCAGGATATTCCCTCAGTATTGGTTCCTGGTCACAATCTTCATGTGGGCCATGCTATCGACGCCTAGGACTCACAGGAGCGGAGTGAGTGGTAGTATTAGGTGGTTGAAGGCTCGAAACTGACGTTCAGGTGCCGGACACTTGGTACTCGAGATTGTTGTTGATGGTCGGTCCCGTTGCGGCGCCCAGTAGTAGTGGTGGCGGCGGAGGGGGTGGTGGAGGAGGAGGAGGTGGGGGCGACAATGGGGGCAAACCCAGAGGGAGTGGCCAACCTAAACCAAAACCCAAGTGATGATGACGGCGGGGAAGGATGAGTCTGTCGACAAGTGATCTGCCTTGACGAAATGAGCTGAGATGTACTCGTAGTAGTAGTACTTAGAGTAGCCATAGCCTTGTCAATGTATCTATATGTAAGTTATTAATGTGACATGTAGCGACGAGGATGCAGAGTGAAAAGCAACATGAAGATAGATGTCCGTACTTAGATGTCTCCTCGGTCGGCTCTTACTTGGTTCCATCTATTCTTCCCCATACTTACAGTACATTCATCCTATACGTCATATCATCCCCTAACCATGACTTCAAAGTCGACAGATATCAATTCAGTCCCTATGGACACCATCCTGCCTCTCCAAGATTGGCTCAAGTTGCTCAACTCTAGAGGTTGCGACATGAGGGCTGCTATGTCTCTCGCCGCCAAGATGTGAGTGTATCCCCTTTACAGTACCTCTTTCCGTCTCTCTTTCTAGCTTCATGCTTCAGCTTTCCTTTTCTCACTTGGGCCCAACTGCGTATTCACACCCCGTTCGCGATGCCACATCATACCCTCATATCATGTACTCCATATGGACATGAAGTAGGCCTAGAAGAGATGCTGACGGGTTAGTTACAACTCACATAACACCAAATCCCGTCTGGTTCAACTAGACGCCAAAAAGCTATCTTCCATTCTTACTGATAAAGACCAGCGCAAGGCTGTAATCAATGCCGTCCGAGGATTAGGGACGAATGATTCCCCATCGAAGAAACGTACGAGAGATAGCGATCTCCTGGAGCCTTTACAATCCTCTGTGGAGTCTGATCTACCTCAGTCGTTGACTTTTGACGAGGTGAGAGATCCAGAGGTGAGCATTTCGGTATATATCTCTCTATCATCCCATTCTAGTGTTCAACTGGCCACTGTTTCATATCTCAATTCTCACCATGACTTCGTCTTCCAACATATTCTTATCTCTCCTGACCCACCACGATCGCCAAATTCTCTAGCGATCGAGCGAGCCTCAACCGGCCAAGGGCGGAGATCGGAGATAGGTATCACCATCCGAAATCTGACGATACGTTGGTGTAGAGATGTGTAGGGTTAGAAGGGAGAGATTTAGGAGTTCAGGATGTCCAGATATATCGTCAAGCAAGGACAACCGGATTCATCGGACGATCAATCAGGTCAAAGAGAGATGAGAGAGCTGACATTAGTCACTCATCCCTCTGACAGTAACAACCAATCGAGCTCCCGTCAAAACCGCTTGGGTCTTCGTAGTAGCCCAACGAATGGGATTTGACACACAAGAATCTCTCTCTATAGCTCATGTCTACGTCCATTTGAGTAGTCTTAAACATGCTCTGATGTTAGGGAACATCCTCACTCCTCAAGAAACCAAAGAAGCTGAAGAAGAACTACGTGAATTACCAGGTGAGGAAAAACGACGTAAAGTTAGTTCTGGAAAATTGAGAGGAAGAGGGAGAAAAGAAGAAGAAGATGATGTGAAAGTGGGTAGTTCACAACCTTGGGTAGGGATAATGAAAGCTATGTGAGTGGAAACTTTTTCATTGCACAACATCATCCGCATCGACAACCCGAAACGATGCAGTGGGGTTGATAGACGTGGACTGACTTACAGAATGTACGTTCAAGAATGAATCGATGCAGAGGTGTAGAGACTGATGATAGACCCGTAGTAGAAAGATCTGATGGATCTTGGAGAGCTTTGGAAAAAGGTGTACCAGTCGAACCCAGTCAAGTGGGTCATCACTTCCTCGTTCCCTAAGATCGGAAATTTGACAATTTTCCCCTCTAAATTTTTATTTTTTACGTTTCCTTGTAGCCTCGGCTTACAATATTCCCCTTTTGCTCCTATATCGTCGCTCGTCTTTTGACGATCTTCAACTTCCCTTCGTGTACGCCGTTCAAGTGAGGATAAGCCGTCCTGCAATTGCAAAACACGAAGGTATCCATGACATATCGGAAATCGGAATCGGTCAATTTGATGAATGAAAATGAAAAGCGAAGTTGACACCCCCAGGCATATCTCTACATCTCCCGAGCGTTCAAAGAATACACATCTCACGTTATTGGTGCTCTCCGATTATTAGCAGACTCGTGGACTCCTGATGAACTCAACCGAATGGGTTTATCGATGTATGTGAGTTACACTTTTCTTTGATCTTTTTTTCCCTCTTTTTGACTTCCCCATCTAACCGAAGTTATCTAGCCGTCTTTTGTATCATTCCAAAGATATAATGTCAAGTGATCATGTCCAAAAAGCAAGGTAATCTAACATTTTGTGAGGGAACATGAATATGTCGTCATGAATGAAGAGCGATGTGAAAGAATTGACTAACGGTAGAACGCTTTCAAACCTGATGTGGAGAAATGGGGTCAAAGAGGGACTTTAGAATGCGCAAAAATTTTGAACGAAATGCGTGGTCCAATCTCGACCTCCAAATCCGAGCCTCCTTTCCTTGACAACACACCCGACCATATCAACCATGACGATCGTAAAGAAATATCGACGGGGGACTCCAAGTCGGAAGGACAGGGAAAGGCGCTCGAACCGATAAATATGTCTTTGGAGGAATATGAAAAGATGCTCGACGAAGAGACTCCAGGGGGTTATATCGATCCTGGGGATATACCATAATCCATGAGCTATATATCCTTTTGGGTATAATATCATTCATATTTCATATCGAAACGATCTACGTGATATCTGAAAGAGCTACATAAACTTCTATACTCCCAATACTCCACAAAAGGCCAGAACCAACTGTCGGCGGCCGGCGTAGGAATTATACGTGCAATACTAGATGAATCATGGATGTGGGTGTGATGAAACGGATAAACGAACAAGTAAAAGTTCCCAGTGAGGAAAAGAACACAGTCGTGGTGGAAGATGGAGGTATGAAGTGAATTTGAGAGAAAAAGAGACGAAATGGTGTCAGGGACGGAACGAGCCTCATTTTCCTCTATCATTCATTTATCTTCGAAAACGAATTTCCGTAGATAAAGAGGATAGGTCAGAATGCCCCTTTTGGTTCTTTCTTCCCTCTGAATCGGATTATCATCTGTCTGGAAATGGCGAGAAGCCGGACAGATGATGAATATGACGATTGTGCGGGGGTTTTCTTTTACCTCCACTCGACTTTCTTCATATCAACCTTTCCGTCATCCTCCAACATCAGGCCTCTGACCAAAACATGATATGCTTTACCTCGGGACACGTGATAGTCTACCGTGCCCAATATGGTCAGTTGCTACGAATGGTAGGGAAAGAAGGAAAGCATATCGCTGTAGAGAGATCTAGGATTTGTATTGAGAGACGATGTCAATATTCAGTACCACCTCTCAAAACTCGATGCATTACTTTACCAATGGTCCAGTCAACAAAAAACTTTGTAAATCAGATGGTAATATACCCGCTGAAATCTGTAACACCTAAACTCATCAGCCATCATCCAACGAACCCTTCATCATAAAACTCACCTTTAAAGCCATTTCTCTCCCTCCTCCATCCCAATTGCGCGATAAGATAGGACGTAGTACTTCTCCTACCAGTCGAGCACACAATTCACGTATTTCGAAAGGGACCACATGACGCCATTGTAAGATGTTCCGAAGGAGTTTCAGACGACGTCGGAGGAACCGTTCCATTGATAAACGTGATTCCGGGGAGAAAGTAGGTGGAGGGATGGAATCATGTTGAGAACTAGAAGATATGAGGTGGGAAAGGGAGAGTAGATGGGTATGATATGTTTCCAGAAGGGCTTTGAGTAAAGACTAGAGTTGTTAGTAAATTCATTTCATATGCCTGAGATACCTCCAGATGATACGAGAGTAGGTCAAGAAGGATTGTGAAAGTTGAGGGGTTTGCTGGAAATCGAGTACAAGTCAAAGGAAGGTAAAAAAGCTAGAATGTGAAGAAAATAGGAGAGATGAAGAAGATGAACTGTGATAGGTGAAGGTGAGAGGAAGAAAGTGAAAAGTAATGAATCAGAAGCACATTGAGAAGAACCCTTTGTAGACGTACTTGAAACTTCTTATTCTCCTTCCCTATCAACTCTCCTATCATATCCAACAAATCTCCAGCTCTCCGAGTTTGTTTACTAGAATGAGGATCATAAGCTCCATTCTCAAACATGTTCACCAAGAGTGGAACGACGACTTTGGAGATTAATTCAGGTATGAGATCACCTTCTGGTCCTAATGGAATTTCATCTTCCATTTCATCTTCTAATTGTGTGATTGAAGAGGGTCGGTTGTATTTATAGATTGAAGTGAACCAGTGGAACGAATGTATAGGTTCGGAAGACTGTTCGTTTAGTATATTTAAACCTCGACTGGTGTTCCTGACGCCGTACTAAAAATCCCTTGAACCCTTCCACCCATCTATATACCATCGATAAGAATTTCAGGAAAAGGAGATTGAATCCTCAGATACGGATGAAGACGAATTAGGCGATGGAAAGATAATCATGATTCCTCACTCACACGAAAAGGTTCCCATCCCACCATCTCACCCCTAGCCCAAAATTCCCAAGCATGTACCAAACCTAATCCTCCAAACGCATTCACATACTCCTCTTCATACCTCTTTCTCCAATCTGCGAATCTTACGGCTAAACCTAAATTTGGATCTTTAAAATCTTCCGCTTTTACATCATCCAATAAACCCCTAACCCTCTTATCTAGGTCCACCAACGCTGTACGGTAATCCTCCATATCCCCTTCTGCCAAAGTTGAATCCGTCGAGAAACCTTCTTCCTCTTCTACCGATGGCTTTACTTGTCGAAATGAACGTTCTTTACGACGACTTCTACGTAATTGTCTTTCATCTCTTCTTGCTCGACGTGTTACCGAACTTGGACCTGCTTCTGCCAACATATCCCTTTCTCTTCCTAATTCGTCCACTTGAGTGACTTCTGTCGGTCGGGGAATACCAAAACATAAAGCGAGATCATCTTGATCATCTAACTCCCTCCTCTGAGAGATAATTCGAGAACGTTCTTTGTAATGATGTAAAGCATCCTTTTCAATCTCTTCCAATTTCGGTACCTAACAAATCAGCTATGATCATAGAAGAGCTGTAAGATAGCTGACTTTATCTTCTAAGAAATTTCCTAACATCTCCACCCACCCTCGAAACTCTTCAACCCATTCACGTTTCCCCTCCAAACGTTCCACTTCAGAACGTAGTTCACGTTCTTGACTTTCAAAAGTAGCAAGTTCCTTTACGACAACTTCGAGATTAGCTTCGTCCTGTGCTTTCTGCGCTTGGAGTTGAGAAAGAGCTTTTGCAACTCTTGCTTGAGCAGCTGAGATGGTAGGCATTGGACGTATACGTGGGACTGAAGTATCAGCTAGCACGTCCATATGCGAGGGAAGCAAGGAGAGAGACAACTGACTAGGAGCTGGTTGATATCCTTTTTGTACTTTCTTCTCTGGGACTTGTTCTTCCCAACGACCAGCTCGACGTGCTTGTGCTTCTTCCCATTCTCTAGTTTCTTCGTCATCTTCATCTTCTGCTTCTCTACTTTATCAGCCATACCTTGCCATTTTGTGAATTAGAGATTACTGACCTTTCCGCGATGAGTTCATTCATCTCGCCTTTATGTCTTCTAGCCGCTACTTTATTGGCATTCTTTCCCAAGTATATCTTCTCATTCTCTTCTGTATAATCTGCAAGTCCTATTTTATATCAACTTGACTCAGGTATTCTACAATTAACTCACCTTCATCTCCTTCCTCACCCTCATCCTCTTCTCTCATCAACCTACTCTCAGGATGAGGTCCTTTATCACCATCGTAAACTGCCATTTGTGTTCCACCTAAAGAAATATAATCCTCCCCAATGTCCCCCAACCCCCGTTGTTGACTTCCAACAGCAGCTTGTCTTTTCATCTTTGCACTGGCTATCGCCGCCGCATCAGGTATACCAACCGTGGAATCTTCCACGATTTTACTAGAGTATTTCTCCCGAGCCAATCTTGATAATCCCGTAGAATCTTCATCCTCAGCATTGTCCTCCCCATTCTCAATCTCGACAGTGGCGGGTTTAGGACCTCGACTAGGAGTTGAAGCTTTGAGCATTTCTAGGTAATCCGAGGAATATGTGACAACAGATTCTTTCACTTCATTCTCGGCAGAAAGCAAAGGTGCAAGTTTGACTTGTTGAGATAATAAACTTTTACGAGGTTTGAACCCAGAAGAACCATCTTCTCCATCATTACCAAAAGATAAACGAGGTCCACCTGATTTAAGATGTTCTTTACGTCTTTCTTTCCCTTTTACCTTTTTACGCTCCATCACACCTCCGGACGTTTCTTCTTCCCCTTCGAGGTTTGAAGTTGTCGCATGATCTTTCGATACGACCATATCTGACTGATCATCTTGTTCACGAGCTCGTAAAGAAGGTCGAGATTTCGCCCTTTTGATGAACATGTTTGCGATGGATAAGAAGAGATTTGAGTGTGATCTTGACTTTTTGGCAGGTGAAATTTGATTCCGCTCTTCCCTTCCCTCTCAACTCACGCGATTCCAGCTATGTAGTACAATAACTCCATCTTACTTTCACTCGCCCTACCTGCATGAGACCATAACGAAACCCCAAGTCGAGTCAAGCTGTGTCGGTTTCGCCTTTTCTCATCCCTCACTAGGCCTATCCGGATTCCTATGTCTCGTATCTCACGAAAACAACTGACTGAACTACTTCGTACATCTTCATCATCTTCAACACCTTTCACCCTTCTCCATGCTCCTCCTCAATGGCCATATCCCTCAAACGCCTCAACTTCGAAAGTACATATATCCATTCTAGATTCATCATTCAATCCACCTACTACCGCTCATCTAGCTCTTATATGCGCTCCCTTTCCACCCATCACAGACATATCGAATCCCTCCTCAACTATCCCAAAATCTCCCGACCGTTCTCAAATCCCGACCAAGCGCAATGAGGAATATCCAGACACTGAGGAAAATGTCAAATTGAGTGAGACCTCTCATGAGAATGGAGGTTCAAGCAGAGTAGAAGAGAGAGGGAGAGAGGACAGACAGAAAGGGGATTACACAACTAGACTTTTATTATTATCCCTCAAAAATGTGGACAAAACACCTTCTTCAACAGATGCCACACCTCAACAAAGAATAGAAATGATGATTCTTTTATCGAAAGAAGTGGAGAAGAAAACAGGACAAAGTTGTGCTGTGGGAATATGTCATGAAGCTACTTTCGTAGGTAAAAACAAGGTTATACGGGAATATCTTTCTTCAATTTCGACTCGTTCCAGAACTCTATCATCAAATCTTTCCCTCGGAGTTGAATCATCATCAATCAACACCAGCAACGGTAACTACGATGTAGGACAAGGAACGTCCAAGAAAGGTCAATTAGGATCACCCACCGCCACCGACAATGACAACAACATACATAACGTAGGACACAAAACGGTCGGAAGAGAATCACGATTGCAAGATCTAGACCAAGTGGGACCCCCTGGAAATGCCCAAGGAGGATATAGAAACGGAGGAATGGGAGAAAAGATAGATTTAACATTCTTAATTGGCACAGACACCCTCACTCGATTCTTTTCTCCTAGATATTACCCAGAAAATCAAATGATATCACTTCTAATGGATTTCTTCAAATCTACTACTCTCGTCTCCGCTCTCCGGGATTCGACCGTCTCTGTGACTCACCCATTTGGCCCCAAAAACATCGACGACGAGGACGAGGATGATAAGGGGGACGATAACGGTAGAGACAAGAAGGAAGATGTCAAGAAATCAGTAGAAATAACTATTTTGAAAAGTGAAGTGGTCAGACCGTGGACATTATCGGGTAAAGTAAGACTATTAGATCTAGGTGAAGAGACAGAAGGGGTGAGTAGTACTTCAGTGAGAAAACAGGTAAAGGACAAATTACGACATAAGTCAGTAGATGGGGATGAACGTAAGACACAAAGATCGACAAAAGAGGATATGGTCGGAACATACATGTTAGTCGATGGGGATGAAAGAAGAGAGCAGGTGGTTGTAGAAGATGGGAGGGAAGTCGATGGGGATGAAGGGAAGGAACAGGTCGTTGTAGAAGATGGGAGGGAAGACGGTGCGGATGAAAGAAGAGAACAGGTGGTCGTACAAGATGGGAGGGAAGAAGATATGATCAAAGGTGTTTTAAATACTATTAACGAGTATATCAAGATTGAAGGATTATACATATAGATTTTATTGCATAACAATAATAACCACCATTCATTTGACTTTCAACTAATCTCTTACCAAGTTCATAACACATTCTTCATGAGTATAAATCATCCAAGGGATGCTCACTTGAGACGAGTCGATCTCAAATTCCCAGAAACGAGTTATGTTTCCTTCTGATTCAACTGAGAAACCCATTAGACCAACTCAACTAAATAACAAAGTCGTTGGTCAGAATATTTTCAAAAGAATTTCAAAAAGAGAGAAAATATCAACCATTAATGATTGATGATTTATGATAGCATTTTCAAGGAGGAAAAAATGAGGATGACACAAAAATGAGGATGACACAAAAATGAGGATGACACAAAATTGAGAATGACACAAAATCATGCATCCAAAACCCCCATCCTCTCTAATTGTTCCATCCAACCCACTTGCATCAAAGCTAATTCAGCTGAAAATTCCCTTGGAGCTTGTAAACTTTTAGTCATCTTAACAGGTATTTTCCAACTCTTCCATATTTCTTCTCTTCTCTGTAACCCCATATGTACCGACGAATCCGAAGAAGTCTCAACTCCCCAAATGTCCATATGTTTCAACAAACCGATAGGTACTTCAATACCCCATTCTTGCATGTCAAAAATGACACATTCCATTTCTTCTTTATATCTTCTTTGTGATTCCAAATTTATTCTTCTCCCATCTGATTCCCTTCCCCATAAATTCGTCTTTCTTGCCCACATTATCTCTTCCCTTGTTCTTTTTTCTCTCAACAATCTTTCCCCTCTGTCTCCCCCTCTGTCTCTGTCTCTGGACGAACCAATGTGACTCGAATATTTCATTCCATCGATCATATTCCGTACACCAAAATGATTCATTTCTGATAATTGACGATCAGTTGATTCTCGCCAAGGTCCAACACTCGGATCTCGTGAATGATACCTGGGTCGACTCCTCAGACCCCATCTACCCGCACAAGAATCAATCATCGCGTTGAAAAACCTTTCATCAGGTTTTACCCCTCCCCCTTCTTCCCATCTCTTTCTAGCTTGTCCATAAGTCCACAAAGCCAATTCAGGAGCAGCTTCCGCTCTACTCATCTTCTCCTTTCCCTCCATTCCCTCCACATACCATCCTAATGGTCTAGTCAAATGTTTTATTCTACCTTTTCCCTCGTCAGCCCAAATGAGCAACATTGACGTAAACGCATGTATGGGTAATTCCTGTCCATACATATACGTAGACCGTCGATCTTGTTTGTTCCGAATGGGGGGAGTGGGACGTTGTATCGCCCATTGTTCATCAGCACGAAGACCGAGGGAAAAGACTCTTTGGGCTAAACCGGGTTTATGACATTTTTGCAAGGCGGAAAGGATGGAAACGTATAGACCGGGACTGAGGTGTTCGATTTTTGGACGGAGAGATGGAGCTAGGGTGGGAGGGTATTTACGTGTGTCGAGAAAGGGTAAAAGACGATAAATGAGAGTTTCGATACGGGAAAATTGACTGGTGGATGATAAGTGAGAAAAGAGGGCGATGAGCGAATGTTGGTTCGGTTCGGATGGTCCGAGGTCGAAAGTTACGTCTGGCTCGGGGACGTTTGAGGTAGGAGGTATAGGGTTGGATGAGGATGAACTGATATTCGAAATATTGGCTAAGTCTGAAGAGCTGCTGACTCTTGATTGAAAGAGGGTAGTAGTTCGAGAATCTGGAGAGACTGGAGTTAATGAGTCAACTGAAGTCTCTTCTACCCGTGGAACAAAAGGTTCAATCGCTTTGTTGGAAGTTTCAGACGAATTCTTATTGCCCGATGCCACGATTTGACTCCGCTTGGAAACAAAATCAGGTTCGAAAGATCTCGAAAACAATCCTTTTTGAACCTCCCTGGAAACACTCGGATCCCGGAGTATAGTCCCACCTCTCAATATAGCATTATGCAGTTGTGGTGATTCGACAGGTTTGAAAGCCTTTCCCACATATTCCATAAGTTTTCCAAGTATCTTCGGAGCACGAAGTTGTCTCAAAGCGTATTCAACCAAGAATACACATTCTGAAAAACCTAATGCACCTAAATCGTATCTTCTCTCCTTCTCCATCATCTGTCCGGTAGTATCTTCCAGAAAGAGAGTCTCTGATTTTGAGGGAGAATTCAATTGTTTTCGCATTTCCGATAAATGTCGAAGAGAAGCTCCTGACATAGGTGGTGAAAATATAAGAGATTGTAATGCTAAATGTGCTTGAGTATAAGCTTCATAAGCCCATCTATCAGACTTGTCGATATTGGTGATATCGACATTATCAGGATATACGGGAGGATAAAGGGGTACTTGATTCAACTTCTTGACTATTCTTCCAAGAGATGGGACGGGGGTTGTACGAGATAAAATTGTCGTTCCTAAAATGGCGAGAGCACGAGAGGATGAGATGAAATGATGATGCGAATTTTCATCTGGATTTGTTTTGAGGGAAGAAAGGATTATAGAAATGAATTTCTCGTGCGGTTCTGGTATTGGAGATGATGGTGGTGTGAAAAGAGGATAAGGAAAACTACGCATTTTAGAACCTATTGAAAGATTTTGTGGATGCCATAAATCGAGTCGTCCAAGAGGTGAAACTACTTCTCCTGGAAGTCGCCAAGTACGAAGTGGTTTCCACCATGATTTCACATGATCAGGAGGTTTCCTTCTTTCTTTTTCTCCGATCTGATTTTTCTCCTCATTTGCATTGAGATCCGACCGTCCGGGGGAAGTCGACATGGAGTTTAATGAGGAAGTGTTAAGAGATGACGAAGCCGGGGAAATAGTTGAAAGATTCGTTTCTGGATATGAAGAGGAAGTTGTGGAAGATCCAAGTTGTGTCACCCAATCTTCAACCCATTCGACGTATAACTTAGCAGCAAGATCTGGTCTATTCTCCACACAACATTGTCTAATCACCGCTTCGTATAATTCGGCCGGGCGACATTGTCGGGTTTGTTCCATTACAACCAATAAATCGAAAAGTCTAGTAAGATGTTTGGTAGGGTTCAGTTGAGGGGAAGATGAGGGAGGAGGGGGTACGGTGAGATTGACAGGTTTGAGGTTTTTCATAATACGGTTCAGTGTTTTAGGTGATATGATATTTCTAGCAGAGTAAAGAAGTGGTGGTATCTGATTGGTCAAATAATAATGCAGTGTAGAAGAAAGATCATGACGTACCGAAGAAGAAAACTCTTTCCTGATCTCATAAGAAGAAATGGAGGAAGGGAGTGAAGTAGAAATAGACGGTGAAGACGGTAAAGATGGTGAAGACGGTAAAGATTGTGGAGAGGGTAGAGATGGTGAAGATGAACAATAGGTTTGAAGATATAAAGTGATAGCTTGTATAGCCAATCTAGAACCTTTAGTCTGACTTAACAAACAATGTAATAAAACATGTAATTCTAATCTTGAAAATGAATTCAATTGTCTATCATTCAATATCGTAGAGAATAAATGATCGATTGAAGAGAAATGTCCTCTGGAAAGAAGTTGAAGTTGTTGTCGAAGGAGTTTAGCTGAATGACGGGTTTTGATAGGTTTGTTAGTTGTGAGTAAATGCGAGTGACCCAATTGTGGACGATCCTTAGTCGTCGATTGGACATGGTGGGATTTAAGGAGAGATTCATAAGTGGTTGTGGAGATTGTCGAATGAGAGTGAAGTGATGATTTCACATTGTGAGTAAGGGAAGAAGGATGGACGGTGGAGGATGGATTTGCTTTGTTGAAGTAGTGTTGGGAAGATGATGGAGGTTGATAGGGTATTCTTGATGGTCCGGGAGGATATTGATCAGGTTCGGAATCCTGAATAAAGTCGCGAACTGCCGTGATTGTACTTGAACTTCTTCTCGAAGTGAGTATCACAGTGATGGATGGAAGACGTCTGGTTAACATTGTCGATGTATGAGATGATGGGAGGAGGAAAGGTGAAGAAAGAGGCTATTCTCACTCGCTTCACTTTTCATCTTCCACAATCTGGTGTGGCACCGGAAACATGTGGCACTCCATAAGCCATGAGTACGAGTACTCTACTGTACTCTACTCTACTCTACTTACTCCACCATAACAAGTATTCCAAAAATGCAACCCCAGTATCGCTTGGTACGAGTCCTCTACATTACTCGTATCATATCATCGTTGTGAAAGGCAAAGAGATAGTTTTACCTGATACAACGAGGTTCATCAACAACATAATCATCATGTAAATACCCAAAATCATAATCTAGCTCTCATCCCTCCGTTCCCCCTCTGCCAGGTAAACCACCACTTCATCCCAATATGTTTCCCCTCATCACTCAAACCACCAGATATAACCTTGAACAATTCACCTACTTCATCTCCACCCGTTCTCACACCTTCACCAACTGATCTATTCTCAGCTTTACTCTCATCGTGATTCTCAGGAGTATGACGTATGGCCGAAATACTTTTTCCCAACTTATCCAAATATCCCACAAGATCGGATATGGGTACATGTGGCAAAATGGCAATTCTCGTTTTGATCATAGATCCTTCATCCACATTATCGAGAAGATTGATGAGATAGTAGATATGGTCTGAGTCAGAAGACTGGGCGGCCGATTGAACCAAAATGACATAAGCGGAGATAAAGTCGTCGGTGGGTATCCGACCTTTGGACAATTGCTTAGATTAGTATTGGTACATGAAGACGATAAAGACACTCACTTTGATAAGAATAAGAGCGTAGTATTTCAATATGGCTTCGAAGAAAGCTTTTTGGTCGGTTTTATTATCCAAGGTAGAGGAAGCGGATTGGATAAGAGCGAGGATGAATGCATGAGCAGCTTGGAAAGTTTCTTTCTCTGGTGATCGTAGACATCTATTATCAACTTCCTTCGTCGTGGCTCGTTACCCCGACCGGGACAAGACTCGATGTGATAGAATGGAAAAGAACAACCGATACTTGTATATGAAGAGCTGTCGGAGAGGAGAGAGATGTTCGGTGATTAAGGATTGGTTTAAATGAAACAAAGCGGTAGAAAACAAAGCTCACTCTTCAGTCAAAGTCAAAATCAACTTCACCCCATCCGCATCGAGGCAATGTACCAATTGTTCCCCTATCGTCAAGACGAAAGCTTTCTTCTCTTCAGATATGAGTCGCATCATGAGTCGTTTCATCAGATCTGTTATCTCTTGAGGAGAGGCGGAAGACTCTATTAGGTCTAAAGAGCCATGAAGCAGTTTCGTATATTCCAGTGTACTTCTTTTTGGTATTGATGCCAGTATTTCTAGAATCTTAAGAGAGACATTAGCGGTTCCCCGAGACGTTGTCGGGCTGATTGTTTGATGGGGGCAGTGTATCGTAGGGTAAGACTCGCTGAATGGATTCGGGTGACTCGTTGTGGTATTCCTACCGAGCCCGTGAGAGGTCTTCAGAGTCATAGCGGGTGAGAAGGATAGAGCTCGAGATGAATCTAAAAGGATGTCGAGAATTGTCGAACTGAGAAGTATTAAGACTTCAGTCTTCGATTCTGTCCCACTCTGTTCTACTAAATCAGCACCTCAACGATATATTTTTACACTATTGAGTAACCGCAACCTCGACACATCCGTACGTAACAGAAACAATGCCAAATCAACTAGGATTTCTTCCCATCATTCGAATCACGTTGTTATTCGAAATACCCCAGACCGAACTGACCTTGCGACTTCTCGAGCTCTCTACTCAGACAAAGCGTGAGATCCGTCCATCTATTCACGCAATCCAAAGCGAGTATCCGATGTCTCTCTTTTCCTCGACTGAGAACCATTAACATCTTACTCATCGTCTTGGCCAATTGCATGGGGATTTCTTCCTCCATATTGCTGTTTCCTAAATTCTCACTGATGAGTTTAGGAGGAGTAGGAGAGTTGGAAAGCGTGAAGAATAGATGTTTCTCCAGAGGATCCGATAGGACCTGCCGTTAGCTCCTCTCTTAGTTTCGTCCCGACTTTTCGAAAGTTACTTCATCTCAACTAAACCGTCGAGAAACGACAAGAGGATAACTTGCTCAGATAAAGAAGAATCTTGAGAGAGATACAACAGTAGAAGTCGAGTCTGAGAGATAAAGACCATGTGAGGTGGATGGGGGGATGACAAAAAAGTAAAACTCCCATGATCTGAAAAAAAAAAAGTGTGAAGGTAGAGTAAAGACGTTCAATGGTCGACACAAGAGTTCACAGCGTTGAATAATTGATAAATAAATTTACTCACCTTCCAATCCAACAAAAGTAACTTCCTATCTTCTACAAACTCCACAGTTTCAAATAAAATCCATAAATCTTTCGATTGAGATAAATTCACTACAGATTCATTTTCCAACTTATCCTTCATCTTCCCCCAATTTATTGAAGATGATTGATTCAAACCTCTCAAAAGACCAAGGATGATGATATCTCGCACCCTCATCATCTGGACAACTCTGATCGAGTCTGGAGTCACGAATTTAGACGATGATGATTCATATTGTTTGGGACCCATTGGATGTTCAGAAATTCCAGATTGTGGAATGACGACTTCATCAAAAAGATGAGGTTGATTCTTGACAATTTCATTTCCTACAATGTTCAACCACTTCTTGACTTTTTTTCTTGTTCTTTTTGGACTACCATCTTGTGTCAAGATGGTAGGTGCTTGAGAAACACTTTCACTTAAATTTCGTAATCGACTTGAAGTCCATATTGAACGTTCCGGATCGTTCGGATTTGAGGCCCAGAGTGGGGAAGAAATCAATGTTTGGATGAATTCCGGAAGGTTGGAAAGAGGTAAGGAAGTGAGGAAATGGGTTATTCCTCCGTATAACGTATCGGGGGGGATTGGTAGGGATGGGGAAGGTGAGGGGGAGGAGGTTGATGGAAGTGGAAGTGGAAGTGGAGGAGAGTTGAGGAGGGACAGGAATTGAGGAAGGAGGGATAGAGTTGAGGATGTTGTAGAAGACATTTATGGGAGAAAAGACGGTTCTAAGGGTTGACAGAATTGGTGACTATCATTACTACAAAGATACAAAGGTGAGCGAGTTTGGCGGTACTCATAATGACGGGGAAGAGATGTGACGGAGAGCAGGGACCAGAGATTGGCAAACGAGGGCGGGAGAAGCTGGGGCTCCACATTGGTGTGCTGTGGGGAATGTAGAGTACGGGACGAGTCCTCGGCTCCTTTGCTGCGGCCGCCGGGCGATAAAGACAAAAGGTGGAGCAAAATGGATCAGACGATACGTAGGGAGCTCGATGCATAAAGGCTCAACCCACAACAAACAAAACTAAAAACAAAGTACAAAACATGAAACATCAACTAATCCCTTCGTAACATTCATCAGAGCCCCACCCAAACAATCCACTTAGGTCCTCTCGCCCCGGAGACGACGAGCGAGGTGCAAGTCCTTAGGCTGGATGGTAACACGTTTGGCGTGGATGGCGGCAAGGTTGGTGTCTTCGAACTGAATGTCAGCGGGAGTCCTTCTATACCTCATCAGGTGAGCGATACTCGGAGATAAGGGTGAGATGGCCAAGAAAGGGCGGGGATGGGGTTTAGAAAAATGTGACTGACCAGAGAGACGAGGTAAGCTTCGGAAGCTTCCTGCAGAGCCATGACGGCGGAAGATTGGAAACGGACTATAGTATCAGCATACAGTCAAAAGTGTCGAAGGAAAAAACTCACGGTCAGTCTTAAAATCCTGAGCGATTTCACGGACCAAACGCTGGAAAGGAAGTTTACGAATAAGAAGTTCGGTAGATTTTTCTATTAAGATTAGCTTTTTACTCTTACCAGCCTTTCATGCATTGATATCTGGCCGATGGTCTTGCACAGGCGAGTGAGGAATGTGAGAAAATGAGGTATAAACTCACGGTATCTTCTAATCTCACGAAGAGCGACAGTTCCAGGTCTGTATCTATGAGGTTTCTTGACACCTCCAGTACTGGGTGCAGACTTTCGAGCTGCCTTAGTGGCGACTATCTCGTCAACTTTGTCATTGGTCAGACGAAATGATACTGACGTTGTTTACGAGGAGCTTTACCTCCAGTGGATTTACGAGCGGTTTGCTTAGTACGAGCCATTGTGATGGATTTGTATTGGTTGAGTGTTGTAAAGTCGGAGATACGAAGTGTTGTAGAGAAGGAGACAAGTTACTGAAATGGATGGGGAAAGAAGACAGAGGAAGGGGGGGGTTATATAACCTTTGTTGACCAGAGACGGCAAACAGGGTGCCATGGGATATCGCCGAGAGATAACGCCGGTGGGGGTAAGTCACGTGATATCAGATAACCCCGCTTACTTTCAAAAGTAGAAATCTGGAGCGCATGGTGCATTCACACAAGGGTTCACAAAACATACATCTCCTTCTTACAACAGGCACCTCACGTTATGAACAAACTACAACAGAAATTGCAACATTCGACTAGATACAACATACGAGGCCGAGGCTAGTCAGAGTTACAAGAGAACTAACAAAACACGCCGCGGGTTGGATCCTACAAGACCATACCCCTCGCATCCCATGATTCCCACCACCTCCCTTCCGTATTCTCCCAATCGGGTATCGCACCTCTTTTCTTGACGAACACCGGTCGTATCGTATTTCCTAAATCAAGGTTCCCATCATCCTTCGTCGTCTCCGATTGAGGCATACGAAGTGTGTACACCGTCTCGCATGCGTAGACTTTAGGTATATGGGGCGTTTCGACAGGAGAAGGTGTCGTTGGAGAAATGAACATATTCCCCAATCTGTCATCAGCCTTAGACTCATATCATTGCCCTGAAGTCCGACTTAATTAGAAGGAAGGGTGACCGGGTGGCCGGATCGAACGTACCCCGATACGACACCCTCAAAAGCATTCACCATAACACCCATACCCGTCAACGAAGGTCCAATCATACGCCAGAACGCTTCCCCCGCGTGGTTCTTCACCTGCTTCATCATACCATCCAACTCTACGTGTGTTTGCGATAAAGGTGTAGCAGGAAGAGGATGGAAAATGTAAAGAATCCGAGAAGGCATAGGTGATCCTAAATCGGAAACGGTCAAATGAGAAGGTCTGTATTTCCAACTCCAATGATGTTCCACAAGGGTTGTATCTCCATCCTCTTCTTCACCTCGCTCTAAACCCAATCCCTGCTCGACTGCTTCAGTCGACTTGATATTTCCCATGCCTTTTGAATCCTCGACTCCATTCACAGGATTTGAATTCCTGTTAAGAGGTACCACAGGATCAGAAGAACTGGTCGGAGTCGAGGGGGAAGCGTCGGACCAAACTACCATCACATCCTTTTTCTCTTCTTTAACTTTCGCGTCGAATAAAGAAGTCAACGTAGCTCTAGCTGTGTAATATCTCATAGTCCCACCATCCGTCCCAGACACACTACTTCGACCTGTATTCAACCCATCGACTGTGTGAATATGCGATAAACGGGATGCGGTGGGTGGCAACGATGAAGGTGAAAGTGATCCATGCGAAGGAATGGTACAAGTTGAAATCGAATTGATAGAAGGGAATGATATATGTGATGGAGCTGTACGCCAAGTACTTGATCCATCCTGAAGAGTAGATTGATCAGATAAAGTGATAGCTGTGGAAGGATCGAGATGGTCTATCTCGTCAAGTGTCATAGTACGGAGAGAAAGATCATCGATGGAAAGTCTGAAGATGTAAGTGGGTTTACGACGGTGATTCTTTCCTATTTGTTCTGTCTCTATCGTATCCGTATGAATCCCGTCGTCTACTCCATTTTGCTTTATTGAGGGTGAAGGAATATGATTGGCGGATATAACAGGAGTATCAATTGTAAGAAGGTTTGAGGAAAGTTGAATCATGATTCGTTCTGTATCGATGCGAAGGGGTTCAGGAAGGGAAGACATGATAGACAAACACGCCACTGTGTGAAAGAGAAGTCACAAAAGGTGAGAATGATACCAGTTAGGTCAAGTATATATACTCGATGACATGTTTGTGATTACTTGTATATGAATACATTGTTATGTGACATGTAAACCTTTGAAAAGTAATTCCTAAAGGGGTCTGAGCGTAATGTAAAGTCACTTTGGGAAGGGGTGAGGTGGATGTGCCACAAGTGTGACAAGTGGTCAAAGAGAAGCGGTAATCCCGATATCTCCGACTCACTGCTAATGAAGTGCGACCTGCAAAGTTAATGATCATGATAAACGAGTACTTTACACCATGTCAAGTCAAACACCTTATTCAATAGCTCACAGGTCAGTGAAAATCTCCTCTTTCACCTTCCCTCCTACACTGCATCATCTCTTTCCCCATGTTCCCGAGATATCTCTCCAAAGTCGAGCTTATCCTCCGGATGTCCATCCTGACCCTCCACTAGTAACGTCAGTTCGAGGACGTAAGATCCCACAGTCTAGGATAAACCAGGACACAAGAGGTTACCAGGTACAAGCTATATCTACTTCAATGACTCGCACGCGAAACAAGAACAAATAGAAGAATCCATGTTGACACCTTCCAGATTATACGTCAAATCCCTATACAAAAGATTCCTCACAAATTCACTTAATTGGTATATCCGTCGAGACCTTTGGCGTAACAAAGCCATTGAGATCAGAGCGGAATTTGAACGTAATAGAAATATCACCGATCCTCGGGCTTTAGCTTTAGTTCTTGAACAAGCGGAAGCTAGGTTAGCTAAAGAAGCTCATCCTGATCCTTATCGACGTGAGTGGAAATCAATTTTTGTTTTCCGAACATATGGAATGTGGATGTCGGTCATGCGTGCAGATGGATGGAATTCTACGGGATGAACGTTTTGAATAGAGGGAATGGAAGGATGAAGGAGAAAGGAAAGGGAGTTGATGATTTATAGCACCATTGTTTCCTGACGGTACGAAATGGTACGTTGTTTCTTTTACACTTTCTTCTTTACTTATACCCCTCTGTATACCTATCCCGTCTTTGACCTTTCATTATCACTTCTCTCAGTTTGCAGGGTTGTTATCCTCCATGAGAGCTGTCCGAACTACGTTTCCCCTATCTCCCGGTATTTGATCCTACTCCCCGACCTTAATTTCGTCTTCCTAAACCTCATGCTTTCTTACCTCTTTCCCTCGCTCTCGTCTCCTAGTCACTATCATCGGTAGAGATTATCTTGTATCGAGACCAACGCTGACACTTCAGGGAACGTAATTTACCCGTGAGTATACGTGTGCGTGCAGTAAGACGATTACTGACTTTTAGCCACGTATGTTCACAGCACAGGAAAAAGCAGAAGCGTTGGCAGCGGAACATTGAGTTGTTCAAGATGCATATGATCATGATCAGGCTGCTCATACTTGATATTCACACTGCTATGCTGCTCGCTGCCAGCCTACATCAGCTACTGAGTCTCACCTACTCCCTGTGGGCTGTGGGCTGTGGGTCGATAGCAGGGAGTGGGTTGGTCAGTTGTAGTCGGAACAGGGTACGATCGGCTCTCTCGGAACCGGAATTCTCACCTTCTTCACTTTCTCTCTACCCTGCGTTCTCCATTTCACTTCATCCCCTCAGCAGCTCAGCAGCTCAGCAGGCAGCCAGGCGCTGCAGGCGAAGAAGTATTTGGTCCGACTGACATGTCAACCACTCGTCATCCCCTGGTCATCCCTTTCCTTCTCTCCCCCGACTCCTCATCGTCCTCTTCCCTCCCCGCCCTCCCCGTTAACCCCACTCACCTTGTCTCTTGGTCCCAAAACACGTCTTCTGGTCCTTCTCATCACTTGGCCTTAGCTAGTTCAGATAACACCCTCTGGGTAGTCAGTCTGAACTCATCATCCCTCCCATCGACATCTGCAACCAAACTGGACCATTCAGACATTTCGATAACCCGAACGGAAAAGAGTCCTCGATCTAGGAAATTACAATGGACCATCCCTCTTTCCCCTCCATCTTCAACTGCAACCGTCCATCAGGAAGATCTTCTCTCCCCTCCCTCTTCTTCTCGGACCATACGGCATGACGATCTACTCTCCCCTCCCTCTTCTTCTCGGACCATATATGATGACACCCCCTCACAGAAAAGACACAGGAACCGTCCATCTCCACAAAGACATGTATCTTTCGGTCGACCGAGAGCCCCTTCTTCAGCTTCTTCGATCCTCACCACCGGATCGAAGAGACATACAGCTTTCTCACCACCTTCCTCTGCTACCCAATTACCTACCACATGTGTTTCAACCACCACTGCTACAGCTCTTTCTCCTACATCTGTTCACCTCACCCATCCCTCCTCCACAAACCAATCATCAGCTTATGTTAACCCTTCCATCTCTTCCAACTCGAAGTCTACTCCTATCGCCGAAGAAGATCATGCTCACTTGGACTTGCTAGATCAACTCCGGGAACAACGTCGCTCGGAAGATGTAGACAGACATGGTCTGGGTCTAGGTCTAGGATTAGGACTTATGAGTCGTAGATTATCAATACAAGGAAAAGAAGAAGACGGTAATACATCACCTACATCTGTCGTCTCAAATGACGAGACTATCGTGGGGAGAATAAGAGCATGGACAGGGACAGATGATAAGAGTAAAGTGGATGAGATATCGGATGATAGGTTAAGTGAGGCTGCGGTAGATCTTGAGATGCAGAAAGAGAGGATTGAAGGAGAAAGAGAAAGAGATGGGATGAAAGTGGTAGAAGAAGCACAGAAAAGTCCGTTATTGAGACAAACATCTCATCTTGATCAGTCAATTGACGAGAAGAAGAGGCCAGTGAGGAGAATAGTGTTATCTCAACCTGGACGAGGGAAAATCATCGCTTTGAAGGTGTTTGAGGAGTTAGGTTTGTTGTGCGTTTTGAGAGATGAAGGGTAAGTCAGGATTCTCTAGGTCTCAAGATCGATCACCATGACCATGACCAGGATGTGTCTTAAACCCGCATTTTGTGCTCGCTGTGGGGCTATACTTCAGGTGGGAGAGTGGCCTCTGATATACAGATTATTAGATCTGATCTCACTTCAAGACCTCAAGGAGAAGGTCACGGTGGATTTGGAGGAACCCGAACCTTCAAAGACTTCGGAAACGCATGGCAGGGGCAAAACTTTGAGGTTGTCTCCATTCTGGCACTGGTGTGATGTCCATCTCGTCCGGTCAGAAAATGTGAGTTGTCTTCTTTTCTATCGCGAGGCTCAAATCTCCTTCCCCCACACTTCCACCACAAAGTGCGTCTTCCTCAGGGGAAGTGTGGTACACTCATAGGATGAGTAGACAATACCACCCCACCCCTCAAGTACCCCCCAAAAAGATGCCAAGCCTCGTCTCTCAGATGTGGAACAACTTTGTCTGTTTTGCTCCTGTTGATTTATGCTCACGAAAAAGCAAAGCGTCATCATCGCCCACGGCATCCCCTGGCCATGCGCCTTACCTAGTCCGAACGGTGAAGTTACTCGAGTGGTCATTCTGAGGTTTGGCCATGACGTGCAGGTCGAAGCTCGTCTCGAACTTCCTGGTCAAGGAACAATAGGGATTTGTCAGAATGACCAGACCAACTATTTGATACACGCCACGGCAACAAGTTTAACTTCTTATCCTATCATCTTCCCCAAAATTTCAGGTCCTTCGTCTCTTTCTCCATCCTCTCTGTCCGGACACCCAAATCAAAATCTACAGGATCCGGATATGACTCAACAGCAGAATCGGCCCTCTCAATTACGGGCAGTATCATCTGCTAACGTATCACCCAATATCCAACCTCTGCATGCACTTGAAGGGAACGAGCCTGCACCTAGGAGAAACAGATCGTTGGTTTCTCTCCGCGAAGGAGAACAACAGAAAGAACGACGGTTCGCTAGGTTTTTAGCGGTGAAAAAGATGGACTGGCCGATCAAATCAGGGGTGAAAGAACAGAAGGAAGAGCAAAGGTCGGTAGAACTGGGAGAAGGGTGTGAGGTGGAGAGAGATGGGTATGGACATTGGAAGAAGTTGATTTTACATGTCAACGGAGAAGGTTTGGGGATATCAGATGATGTGGCTCATGTGTGTTTCTCAGTCTCATCTCCCCACTTCACTTTTCTCTCTGATCTCTACTGTACTTTGTCGTAGCTTTCACTCTCCAACTCTGTCCTCCTACAGCTCTCCGCTGTATGGTCAAGTCCAACAGAAACTGACTTGCAGGTGTTTTGGTGTGATGGGAAAACCCTGCATGTGCGAGGGACGATCATCTTACTGTCTAAATCACCAGTCAGAGATGCATATTTCACTTCTGGCTGGCATCATGTCTGCCTCTTGTCAAAAGTAAGCTCTTTCTAATCTTCTCCCAACGAGAATTTAATTCGACTGATGCCTGAAGGACAATTGTGTGGTGTATCAAGCTTCCGATATTACTTCTCCTGGTGGGGCTATGCTGTAAGTTCTACCCATCCACTCTTCCAGGTCATTCTCAACCACCAAACTTTGCCTTTCCCACTACTGCAAGACTGACTTTCCAGATTTTCCACTCTTTCTGAGCTCCCATCGACCAATACCATCTTCCTGGACCAAGTTGAAACATTATGGTATGCCACCCACGAAAACATCAGCATAAGAAATCTAATTTGTTTCCCCTCGTCTAATGATCTCATCTCTCTTCAGTGTTCCGTGCGACAAGACATTAGCTCAATCATACCTCACAACACATCCGACGCTTTCATCACCGATAGTAAGCTTAGCTCCAAGCTTTGCTCTCGACTTCAAAAGCTTACAATCAGGTAAAGGAAATGTTCAAAAACACCCATTCTCATCTCTCCTTACCGATACTTTACCCATAGCCAACGACAGTCTATCCATGGACCGGCTAGACTCTCCAATAACATCTTCCGTGTTGGTCAGTGCTGTAGGGAAGTCATATATGATAGCAGGAGATGAAGATGGTGTGGTCCGGATCTGGACCGCAGAGTATATGATATCCTCGGTGTGATCAGAAAAGAACTGATGGATAGTCCTTTTAAATTAGAAGCGTCTTTTACGATGTTTGCCTATCCTGTCAAGACGATATTGAGGTTAATGATGCCCGAAGCTGGCAACTTGAGGGATTGTGTTTTGTGCACTTCGGATGTGGGTTCGGTGGGGGTGATCTCATTGAAAGAAATGGATCAGTGAGTTCGATCATCTTCATTCTACCATACCGCTTTGCACAAAGTTCACAATTTATGGCATATTGGCAGGCGCAAAACGGGACTGGTGTCTCGTGCAGGAGCAAGTCGACGCCAGAAGATCTGGTGGATGAATTAAAACCACATTTTGACTTAGTACAACGTCGTTTTCTTCAGGTATGAACTTGTAACGGAAGAGGCAGTTCGAAGAAAGGCGAGACAAAAGGAAAGAGAACAAGGCAGGAGAGAATTTGAGCTGATACACAAGATTGTTCTTAATTCCAGCTTCTCGATCACCACTGAGAAAAGTTTTCATAGGTGGCACGATGGGACAAGATATGTTGTTGGCTTATGCCAATGGGAAAGCTAGGGTATGGAATGTGGAGACTATGGAATTTAGAAGATCAACGGGGTTGGATGCGGCTGAGGATATGTTACAATCTGGTCAATGGGCTGAAGTGTGAGTGATCACTTTCTCGGGTTTTCTCTCTTCCCTCGCGCTTCCCCCTCCCGCCCCCCCCCCCCCCCCCCCCGACCAACCCACCCACACACACGCACACCCTTTTCAACTCGTTCTATCCCCTCTCTCCTTTTGTAATCGCCGCATGACGATGCGCTCACTTGTCAGGCGGTTAAGTGGGGATTCGAATATGGACGCCAATACTGGTGCTCTTCGATCCGTCCTTAACTCCCATGTGGGACCGTCAGATCTAGGTACGTCAGCTGGATTACTCGCTTCACCGTATAGCTGAGAATTCTAGGGAGGTTGTTGGAGCTCGACTTACGGAGACTCGGGGAACAACTTCGTTCTTCCGGTGATAGTCCTTTACCGGAATTACGATGGTTGTTATCTCTCTTCTTGACCTTCGGTTTGGAGAAGGGGATAGATGATATCTGTCATGAGAATCTGGGGATTTTGCCCCCGGGGAAAAGCGCGATATTCGGTCGACACGAGTGAGTTGTGTTCCTTTTTCCCTATCTTCCTTCCTTCTTTACAGCTCCTCTTCACCACTGCGCTTCCCGCTCGCACCCTTCACTTTCTTCTACTTTGGATCCCAAATGATGCTATCAGTGCTATTGCTATAGGACTACCGAGAGGTAGAGCACAGAATTATGTGACTGATCATTTCAGTGACACTCAAATACAACTTTCCTACACCACTGGACCTGCTTCATGGTGCATCTCACCTTATGACACGGGAATGAGACAATTGGCCATTGTATCCCTGCTCCGACCGTTCCTCGATTCTCCCGACCACGAAAAAGCCGCGGCGGACGTGATCGCCTACTATACCACTTGTCTTCCTGCGGATATTGAGGATGCCCCTTTAGACTTCTTCGCTGGATATTATATGGACTCTGCGTGTAAGTCTATCTACCTCATTTTCTGCCTTGCCATACCCTCGTTCCTAGCAGCAACATTTCTGAGACATCCTGCTCTGGTCTTCAGTCTACCATATAGTTGAGTTGTCATACCCGGCCTTTCAATCGTCTATTGACAGGAAGATGCTGTTGGGCCTAGTTGACAAATAGCCAACGTACAACAAGCCGCACGGTTGCTCTTCGCCGCTCGATTGAGTCGAATGACGGATACTGACCTGGAAACATTGATCCTGCAATATCAACCTGGTTGTGAGTTGGCGATCTCTGAATGTGTACATGATCTGACAGTCTAGTACCTAGTTTGCAACCGAATGGAAAGCAGACATCTGCTCAAGCGGCCTTGGCGCTGACAATGATTGGCGGTATGGCTATACAAAAGTATCAATCTATGACGCCTTCGTGAGTTCACCTGAGGCATGAGCTCAACTCCTGTCACCCCTTCAAGATTTGAGACTCTTTGTTCATATCCGACATAGGCACTTGATCACTTCTGACGTGCCTTCCTTTTGCATTTGAAATTGATTGTGAGAATAAGTGCTAAAATGTCAGAGCTCTCAAAGCAGTCGCCGACTCTGTCGTGCTGTATCTGGACGATCCCCACTGTATACATCTCGAATTAGCAGTCGAACTCTGTTCCAAAGGTTTCCAAACATGGCAAACTTATGTGGACGCTATGGACCTTTTACGTCGATTATTCCATCTGGCAACACATAAAGAAAATCCCTCTTCTTCAAATACATCCATCATTGGTAATTCTCATATTGCAGCTCATGCTCGATTGGCAGTACTTCACGTCGCTTCTAGTAACCCTGGATTATTCATGAGTACTTTATCGATGGACATTTTAGATGCACGTTCAGCAGAAGGAAGAAAATCGATCATGAAATTATGTGTTTTCATGGCTAGAAAACAACCTGCTATTTTGGAAAATGGTTTACCTAGAATAGCGGAAGCTGTTGTGAAAAGTTTAGATCCTAATACTGGTAAAATGAGAGAAGACGTTTGGCAAGCTGCTACTGTTATTTTGAATGAACTTGTTCAAGCGTAAGTCGTCCTCTTTTCTTTCCTCTTTTCCTCTTTTCCTCTTTTCCTCTTTTCCTCTTTTCCTCTTCTTCCACCTCTTCCAATTCCAACCATTTTATCTGTACTCTCATACTCGCCCTGTCATCTGTCAGGTTACACCGACCTATCATTTGATCTAATCTTTATCCCCGTTCAGCATCATATACTCAATCCAACAACTCCATCACGTTCAGGCGCAAGATCATACCTCTCAATCTTGTATCAATTCTGATGTTGACAGTTTCTCCACCATAGACTTCCACTCCACCACACAACGTTTAGCAGTAGGAACACATGAAGGAGCTGTGATAATGTACGACCTCAAAACAGCTTCACGTTTATACATTCTTGAACCTCATAAATCCCCAGTATCAGCAATCACTTTCAGTCCTGATGGTAGAAGGTTGGTTACTGTCAGTTTAGAACAAGGTGATTTAACAGTTTGGAAAGTTGGTAGTAGTTTGAGTGGTTTTTTCAACGTTGGTGGACCACCTAGACAAGGTGGTGAGAAAGGTGAACCTTTTAAAAGGATTGTATTCATAAGAGCTGGTGATGGTGAGTTTTACTTTTCTTTTTTTCTTTCTCTCAAATAACTTCTACTACTACAAAAATAAGGAATGAGGGATAAAGGATGAAAGACTGATGAGAAGAACCTATGAGTTCTACTAGCGGTTTGAGTGATGTTCAGATTTCTTGGCCTGGTAATAGACAAGCTAGAGTTACGATAAGGGAGACAGCTTTGACTTTTGAGACGTAAGATTCAAGACGCGGTATTCGAAGTGATGATCTGATGAAAAGGAAGAAGGGCATTGAGTGTACCGGATTGAAGTGAGTTTCACAATATTGACGAGAAAATGCATTCGAAACATTTTAATCATCAAGTTTTACATTTTCCTCCTCATAACTCATCATGCCCTTTATCTTCTTTCAAACCAGCTTTGATCTTTGCCCAATCCAACCATTCATCCCCACCTAGATCACCTTGGTTCATAAACCCTTCTCCACTAAGATCCCCCAAACCACCCAAATCTCCAAGATCTCCCAAACCTTCTAAATCATCCCCAACACCATCTTCATCCATTGGTCCCATCGCTTGGGGAGGGGCGGGTTTAACTTTGACAGCTCCTTTTGCCGATAAAGAAACCCCAAGAGACCGTCTAAGAAGAGCTTCAACTCTAGAGAAATATCTATAAACCATGAGCATCTGTTGGGACACTTGATATGAACGACTCACGCCATTGGATCTGATACGCTAAATCCACTTCTTACTAAAGAAGTATCGAACAAAACCTTGACAGTTTCTCGTAGATCTTCAAGCTCGTAACTGACCATATCCTCGTCACCTTCCGGAAGCTCCAAAACTCTTTCGAGAAGACCTTCTATCAGAGGTGATTTAGGATTGATTTCGAGAACTTTTGGAAGGTTTTTCATCATTGCGTACATCGGGTCAGACTCTGTTTCCGCTTGAGAAGCCATGATCCTTTGCATGTTTGCTGACCAGCCGTACGAGTCTGTTTGTCAACGATAACCAGACTTCCGCCTTCCTTCTTCCTTCTTGTGCGTTCCGCGGCTTGGTGGTGAAGCATAGTTCAGCCAGTTTCTTCGAGAAGATCGTTGTGGGATTAAGTACGAAGTGGAGAAGGAGAGAAGGAGAGAAGGAGGGAAGGAACGAAAGGAAGGAACGAAAGGAAGGAACGAAAGGAACGAAAGAAGAATAGACATACCGACGACGATAGTACAAGGTGAAGAAACCAGACGGTTAGTCAGAACGACTGCTTCGTAAGTTCAGATCTAAAGAGGGGTGATATCGAACGAACCATCACTGATTTGACCCGACAACTCCGTCTTGAGCCAATTCAACAGTGGAGCAAAAGCGATCTTCTGAGATTCCAATTCACGTTTCTCAGCTTCATCTTCATCTTCATCCCCATATATCAAACCTTTCTTCGATACATCTTGCGTTTTCATACCCCTACACTGTCAGCTGATATCAGTTCCTTCAATCATTGTTGCCAACTAAACTCAACACCTCATATCACTCAGTGGTATTACTTGGAACTCATCTCCACAACTCATGACTTCGATTGAAAAAGTTTGAAAACTGACATGAAATTATTCAAAGTAGACATCATGGGTTCGTCCGCGGGTAAATTCAAGAGTAAAACTTCATATCCTCTAGCTTTGAGTTTTTCGACGAACGGAGAACCTGCAAGAGCTTCGGTAGGTTCTCCTACTCCAGCCATGTAGTAAATCTTCCAGTCAGCTCATATCATGAAGAGATGATACGACATACCTGTTTTTGTCCCACTTTACGATTCTCGACATACTATTCGTAAGTAAATAACCGTATGAACGGAACAATCGACTTGCCTCTTCCAAAGACGTATAATTGGTCCTGGTACTCTCGAATCTTAATAATTTGGCAAGTTTGATTTTATCCTTTGCACTTTCCATCAAGCCGATCCGGAAAGCATTACCGTACAATTTCGATACCTCTTGGTACTTTTCCGGTTCGTCGGTGGCCATCTTTGTGAATAGATCAAGAGCTTTGCGCACTAGGATACGTTGTAGCTGTTGAAGGAATCGATTATTTTGCAGCTGCTCACGAGACACGTTGAGTCTATTTCAATCAGCCGCCAATCACAGACTTATGTTACGGTAGCTCACGGTAGATCGTCAGCTACAGAGTCAGTCATCTCGCAATATCGGAACATAAAGGGACTGACCGTCTACGGTGACTTTCAAGAAACTAAGCCACCTAGGCATGTATTCTTCTCCAAGATCATCGGTGATGAACACTCGTTTGACCATGAGTCGGACATTGTTAATCCCACTATTGACCTTTTGCCAAAAGTCTTTGGGTAATTGAGCTGGAATGTACATGATACCACGATATGAAACACCACTTCCTGTGTCTCCCTATCCCTGTCAGCCTACCATCATGATGAGAAATGGACAAACCTTGAAATGAGACCAGCCTAATGTTTCCGCCTTTGGATCTTTGGCCACGGCTTTGTAGAACTCTCGGTATTCTTCATCCGTGACATCTTTAGGTTCTCTCATCCAAAGTGGTGGTCTATCATTCACTCTCACCCAACTTCCTTCATCCACAGGTTCTGTATCCTTCGGTACTTGGACATCTGGATCCAGAGAATCGTCCAATTCATCATGATCCCCTTCTTCGGCCGGTGATTCCGTCTCAGGCTCCTTGGTGACTTTCCTCTCTTTGATGTAGATGGGGAAAGTGGTTGAAAATGTCGAGTGTCGATCTCTGCTCCGTCAGTCTCTGATGAGCGAGATGAAAGAATTGACCAACATGAGGTTTTTGAGTTTATTGACGGACAAGAATTCTCCGTCTTCCTCACCGATACTCAAGATAATCTCTGTACCTCTACCCAGAGTATTCCCCCGTGGATCAGGGAAGATCTCAAATGAGTCACCAGCAGCGGTCGATACGAAGGTGTATTGTTGAGGGGTAGGGTTGGCAGAAGTAGCCGGTGGGAGGGAAGAAACTTGTACAGTGGGGGAAACGAGGAAACTATTTGATCAGCTCTTTTAGCACAAGGACCTGAAAAGCTGACCAGCTGTAGAAGCCCAGACCTAAACTGTCAGCAGTCGTTGTGCACAATGGACATAATAACATACCGAATTGTCCTATTAGATTGCCATCTGCACCTCCACCACCTTGTTCGGCATTACGTAGAAATTCACTGGTACCACTCCTAGCGATAGTCCCGAGGTTTTTAGCCAGTTCATCTTTGGTCATCCCAATCCCAGTATCTGAAGTAAGCGATCCCTTCCTCAAATACCCTCACGCAGGAAACTCTCTGTCATACAGGGACTTGAGCTGCGGCACAGTAATCAACAGCCTTTCATACGAAGTACACAAGTAAATAATTGAGTGATGAAGGCATCGGAGAAGTGCAAAAGGAGGATACTCGAAGTCACCTTTTATGATCAATTGTCCGGTTTTACCTCCCTCATCCAATTTGACCTCAATAGTCACATTGGCTTCGCCGGAACTTAAAACGCTCCTATCAGTCAAAGATACCAATCTCAATTTCTCCAAAGCGTCATTGGCGTTACTCAAAAGTTCTCGAAGAAAGACGTCTTTGTGGGAGTAAAGGGAATGAATGACTAATGATCGTAAACGGGTTATATCGCTCTAGGTTGGGTTAGCCTGTTCTCCCAATGTCCTCTCTATCATATTCCCATGCTTCTCCTATTATACTATATTCCAATTAGACTGACAGTACTTCTGGAGTTGGTGAAGAAAGTGGTAGTGATTTCAGATAAGTCTCAGTCGGCGGAAGACGGTGTACGGTGGAGCTACGAGGGACTTGTAGTCCGAGCACGGACCAGTGGGAAGGTTGAGATGGCGGCGGTCAGACCCGAGAGTGTTGTTGGGTCGTATACTTGTAGAGCTACTGACGAGCCTGAACATTCATGAAGTAGAAAGAGAAGGGGAAGCTTTGTGAAGTCGGAAGAAGCAAATAGTGCATGGAGGAAAGCTGGAACGAACCGACGGGAAAGTATGAAGAAACATGACACTCCACCCACCTCATATTTAAATGTCTCTGTCTCCGCTCCAACCCCATAGAGAGCAGACACCACACTCAATATACCCAAGACGAAATGAGATAGCCGCATGTTGACTTTCTGACACTGAGCAGAGTGACGAGGACAAAGAAAAGTAATCAAATTCAACTTTTGTGACGTGGAAGTTGGCTGGGAAGGTGGGGCTCCCCTCACCACTCCATCTCCACATGTGACATACTTGTACAGTACCATTACATATGAGGACATAATGAAGAGAGTAGTGACAGGGACAGGACGAATGCAAAAAGAAATAAACCCATGCATAAACCTAGATATCATCATCTTCCACTTCTATAGCATCCGGATTGATGACCTCTTCACCTCCTTCTTGACCCTCATCGATCCCATTGACGTTAGTCCGATTCAACGAAGAAGCCACAAATGCCGGAGCACCTTTCCCTCCCGTCGTCACCATATCTCTTTCCATAGCTGCCATAGGATCCGCAGCGTCTTTAGCGGTTTGTTTAGCCACATCTGTAGGTTTCTCCGTTCCTTTACGAGCCGCAGCAGCTTGAGCGGTGATGAATGAAGCTTCAGTATTGAATGATGCTTGGACGGCACGTTTGATACGTAACATTTCCCTGAATGTGTCTTCTGATCCTGTGTCGACTAACGTGTCAGCCAGCTTACTCCAATTTTAGGTCTCAAACATCCCTTCTACCGTCCCAACAATATCACATGTTACTCACAACCCAACCCTCCGTCAGTAGTCCCGGGCTGTCAGATAATAAATGTCGATAAAGACGTTCGAGCGGAGATACAAACCAAGGGTGAAGGGATTGCCCAAGCATCTGATTGGATAGTTGCTTAAATGCAGGATAGTGTAAAGGTAAAAAATGGACCCACCTTCAAACATGTTCCACTCATTCCAGAACTCCGGCTCAACCCTGGGATCACAAAATTGACTGGCATGGGCATATATAGCCCTAGCTCTATCAATCTCACCCAATTTCCTTTCCATCCGTGCAAACCTTCTACACATCTCCGCCGCATTCTTATCAGGCAAAACTTCCAATGCTCTCTCGTATATAGGTCTCGTAGCTGGTAAACCAAAGTTCGCAGCTGCTTTGGCAATATAAATGGTGAACATTTCAAACTTGTCTGAATCTTGAACGGTAGAAGCGGCTCGGTCATATATACCCATAGCACGTTTAGCCAGACCGTGTTCTTCTTCCAATTTGGCATACATGAGATAAAGAGGTTTGCAGAATTTGGCAGGACAATTTTCGAGAGCTTGTTCGAAGAGGTCCCGGGTGCGTTCAAGCTTTTTGCCTCCGTATCGTCTGACAAATTTAGATAAGTAAATGTTCCAGATTTCGAAAGCTACGGGGAAATGGAACAGCTCGATACCGCGTTCGTAAATCTATCATCAGCACGACTTGCTACCGAAATCAAGATTATTGATTTCCTGAACAAATTCGGTTGACATTTCCAAAGAAAAGCTGAGTCAAAGCAGGGATAATCTCTACGTTTGACCGACAATATCGCGAAGGAGACGACTGGGATAGAAAAACCCACTTTGAAACTCTCCTCGAAATATTTATTCTCCTCCAAAAACGCAGCATAATTCACAATGGTCTGAGCATTGGCTATCTTGAGCTCCATGATCTTATCATAAACCATTTTCGTTGAGTCGACCGTCCCTATACTCTCCTCCAAATCACTGTAAAAGCTCCACAGCTTCAAACTCTTGAACAACCTCGCTTGAGGAGGTACCGAATCATTGTAATAATCCACCTTTGTATTCTTAGGAACTGTCGTCGCTCGCTGCATGAGCCTCACCGCTTCATCATAATTCTCATTCCGCAATTCCATCTCGGCCCATTCACACCACACCTCAGCTAATTCATCTACCGTTTTGAAATGTACCTTTGTAGCCTTGTCCAAAATCTTCCTAGCTTCGACGAGATTGGGCTCGTTCCTCGGTTCGTCCGTTTCGGCATCTTTTGACCCCCCTTCTTCATAGAATTTGGCAAAGTTGACGTACAAAGGGTAAAGAGGACCTGTGGCCTTACGAGGATTTATAGTTTCCAAAGCTTTGAGGTAAGTCTCAATGACTTTTTCATCATTATCTCCAAAGAGAGCAACTCGCTTCTCCCATTCGATGACTTCGTTGGGATTACGTCGAAGTAAAACTTCATTGACAAGGAAAGGTCTTCGATCCATGAGCTCTTCGAAAGCTTTCATACGTTCATCCAACTCTTTCTCCGTTTCCTCCGCATCAAACTCTTCATCCTCCAAGTTATCCTCGTCGGCTAGTGCATCCATCAAGGTGGATATCATCGTCTCGGAAAACTCGGCGTAGGCATCAAAGATCTGTGTAAAGTCACGGATAGTCACGACAGCAGCTAAACCTCGTTCAAATGTCGCGGTGGCACGTTCAAACTCCCCTCGTTTTATCCAATACGTGGCGAGACCTGTCCATAACCGACCAGCCTGATCTTTGTACACCTGTAAACCATCCCTTTCCACGATATGCTCGACGTCCAATAAACGGGGATTGGAAGGGTCGGTATCTTCATCTTCAATAGATTCGTCCTCCGTTTTGGGTGTCTTCGTGACAGCATTCTTCGGCTTGACCAATTGACCTGACTTTGTGGGTATAGGTGGGCCGGCGATCCGCATCAGTCGCCCTTCCACACTTGCAGATTGGTTTTCCGGCTCTTGTTGTTCTCTAACCTGCTGCTCCCCATGAGTCATAGGCGCAGCGTCACTTGTGCTCTGAGCAGGTCGGATAGCCAAAGTCTCCTCTTCTGTCATTCCCACATCCTCGGCGTATTTCTCCACGAGTTCCATGAAATCGACAAAAAGTTGATATGGCGATTTTCCGTCCAAGGGAATGTAAGTACTCTTGGCCGCTCTTCTGGCCAACAGTAGCAAATACTTGGCGGCTGTAAGAGGTTGAGGAGGTTTAGAATCGAGTAGAAATGAAATATGTCTTTCTGTGAGACTATTATCCGCCTGACATTAAGCTACATCACTGCGTCACAGCCTGGTTGACTTACTTTCAGGAATCGTCTCCATACTCTCTCCCCCGCTTCTCCACCTACCATCTCCGCCCATCTTAGATAGAGACCCCACACTCTAGCATGCAAACTAGGTGGTAAGGTACGCAAAGCACGATCGAAAGTTCTCCTTGCGTATGTCCACTTGAACGGTGCTGGACATTTCGGATGTAATAACACCGAGAGATGCAATAACCAAGGTACGGGAAGATGACTCAACCAACCCAACATTCTCTCCCCTACCGCAAACAGACTACGCCATTCTTGATATCCTACCACACCATCTAAACCTCCTTCCCATTGAAATTCTTCTTCGGCACCATCAAGCATCTCAGTGACGCTCGTTTTGTACGTTGCACCCCGCTTCGCATGTTGTTGTCTAGCCTTTTTGGCTTGTTCCGTAGGTTCTCCGAGAACGTAAGCTTGTCTTGTCACTATGTATCCCCTCCAAAGCTTGAAGCTGGACGGGAAGACGGCGAGAGCACGTTCGTATATACTGACTAATTGTTGAAGTCCTTCTCTTGCAACGTGGGATGAAAGTGGACCAAGGAGTTGTTCTTCCGGTGAAGGAGTGTCGGGAGCAAGTGGGAGGGTTTTGGATATTCTGTCTTTGATTTGACCAATGTAGGAGAGCCAGGATCTAAGGTTGTCAGGATTGTGGAGAAGATCTTCTTCTGTCGCCAGATCGGCATGGGAAATGAGATGTGGGTGGGTGAGAGGGGTTGGTATAGGGACAGTGAGAGGAAATCGAGAGGAAAGGTTTGTGACGAGGGAGGATGATGGTTCGTCTGACATCTTGGGTCAGAATCTGGAGGAATAGGAAGGATGGGACAACTGAGAAACAAGGGAAGAAATGCCAGAGTAGAGTATACTAACTCTGGTGAGTGAGTGAGCTGGAGTGGAAGGTGGAAAGCAGGAGAAGGGGTGAGATATTTCTGCCACACGCCGGTGTTTTACGGCATTTCAACCTCCACTTTGGATGTCCACCAAGCTCAGTCGCATCCTTTTGCCATCTTCAACCATCATACTCGAGTATAGCATCCAAGCTGTCTCTCCTACGCTCCATACTCCCCCGTAGACTCAGAGCGATGGCTACAGTATCACCGAATCCATCAAGTATCCGTTTCGCAGGTTAATCTCCCCCGCGAGGTAATCCTGACTCAAGCTGACCCCTAGACATCGCCGTCAATTTTACCGATCCGATGTTTCAAGGCATCTACCATGGCAAAACCCGACATGATCCCGATCTTGACCATGTGATCTCCCGTGCTCGATCCAGCGGAATATCTCGAATGCTCATCACTGGAACATCTTTGTCTGAGTCTCGAGCGGCTTTAGACTTAGCCAAGAAGTATGGTGTGTTTTTCCCCGGCTCAAAACAGCTCTTCCGTTCCTCAAATATCATAAAAGTTCAATACTGACGAGCAGACCTTCATTGTACTGCAGGAATACATCCCACATCAACATCAGAAATTTCAAACCATCCTTCCGGTCCAGAAGATTACTTATCAAAATTGAGAGAATTAATCGCGATCGACAGAGGAGAAGGGGGTAGTAAACGTATAATCTCCATTGGTGAAATTGGACTTGGTAAGCCTCAGTCATCAGTTGCCAACATGATATGAGCTCATCAAAAAGATTATGATAGATTACATCATTCTCCCCGTGAAACTCAATTACGATACCTTCCCAAACTCTTGAGTTGGGCAAAGGAATTCAATCTTCCACTTTTCTTACATTCCCGATCTTCAGAAGCGCATGTCGACTTGATGCGGATTTTGAGAGAAGTAGGATGGGATGAAAGTTGGAGAGGTGTGATTCATTCTTTTACTGGAACGAAGGAAGAGATGTATGAGCTTGTGAGTTGACATACTTTATCGTGTTCCTCTTCATACTATTCATCCTTGGAACAGAAAGATCTTCACGTTCACTTCATCATTTGAATTATGTTGCAAGGTGAGTCGTTTTGAAAGATGTTGACGTCGTTAACGGACTGAGGTTTCTGATTTACCTGTCGAAGTGAGATGGAAGGACTGATGATAGATTGAGCAAGGTTTGTATATCGGTATAAACGGTTGCGCTCTGAAGTTATCCCAGGGTTTAGATGTAGTTCGAGAAATTCCAGAAAATCGTATATTACTTGAGACTGGTGAGTTTTCCTTAACTACTACTTCCACTCCGCCATATTCAGAAAGAAAAGCCCAATGTTATCTTGTAGCTACTAAACTCCATTCCATTTAACGGGTCATTCACATCATCATATCACCCGTTTCCCATGCGCAGTTTCACAAATATCAAAATGACACTCTCTTACGCTTCACATGAGGGTACATAGATGTCGTATGACAGAGAAGATTGTAAGATGGACAGTACGGGGGAGAACAACAGCTGACTTTCCAGACTCCCCATGGTGTTCCATAACATCTACACACGCTTCTTACCCTTTTCTTCCCCCCACCTCAGCACAACTCAAAAAGGTGAATCATAAATCTTGGTCAGCGGATACCGGTATCAAAGGTCGACAAGAACCTTCAGATTTAATTTCGATAGCTCATATCGTCGCTAAGATAAGAGGTGTAACTTTGGAATATCTCGCTAGGGTATGTTGGGAGAATACTGAGAGATTATTTCATTCTTGAATATTAAAACTATATTTTGCATTGCATGATTCACATCTCATCTTCCAAAAATATTTGAAATAAATAGATGAAAAACCAAAATACAAGGTCAACAAAAAGAGACTTTGTCCCCATCAAAACATGATGCATGAAAATAATCCCTCACATTATATCCCTCACACTCACTCACATTTACCCAACATCCCAAAAAAAATTGTTCTACATGGTAACAAACCCTCAATTACAAAATATGATCTAAACCGCCAAACCCATGGTTCTCCCTTGACCAGACCCTTCAATCTGTCCATCCTTTTGTTCTCTCCCTTGTCCATTCTGCATCTGTCTTCTCTTTGGTGGATCATCCAATACGAAACTGGCCATACTAGCCAACGATCTACTCTCTTTCACATTTCCCTCCGTTGGTACCGGTTTTCTCCTGAGATTCTTCGGTGAAGCGGGGGATGTCGGTAAACCCGTTTGTCTCAACCTGGGTGAATGACCCAATTTCGGAGTACTCTGTTGGTCTGTAGGACCTAGTCGTGGGGAGGTCATTTCCACCTGATCCGATGAGACTTTCTGGAAAGAAGATAATATCGGGGCAGAAATATCTTTAGGTCCGTTGGATGTGTTTTTAGAAACTCTTTTGTCTGGACGTTTATCAACAGAAATGGCTTTACGATGAAAAGAAAATCCAGATTGAAGAATTCTACTGAAGCCTCCTGTTTTCGTGGAAGTGGTAATGGATGATGGAGAAGTTGGACTGGGTAATAAATCTGTATATTGTTTTGCTTCCGTAGGTGATTTCGAATTGGAAGACAGTGAACTCGGGAATGATGATATTTCCGAATCGATGTTCACATTGTTTTTGAATAATCCAACAGGTTGAGAATCTGATACTGACCGAGAAGGAAGAGAAGGTACAACAGGATTATCATCCCGTTTCCAAATGACGTTTAGATTCTTGGCTGACATTTGTTGTCGAAGTCCTTTCAAAGATACACTAGCCGTTCTACCTAATCGTCGACGATCTTTATCTTTTTCTTTTTCTTTCTCCCGCTCATTAGGTGATCGTGAGGTAACACTGTTCGGTGATGTTTGTTCCCGTTCCGGAGACCGGAGAATATGGACGAGCTCCGGAGAGAGAGATTGAGGCATAGGTCGATGGATGTGAAGATTTGGTGATGGTGGTCTTTGTGGACGACGAGGACGCCATTCAGAAGGTTTATCAGGCGGTGAATCCACTTGCATTCGTCTGAGAGTTTCGTCAGAAACGGAAATAGGAGAGGAAAGACCGTTTATAGTAGGGACTACGAAGATTTTGTTGATATCTGGAGATGCGGGTAGTTCTGGGCGAGAGAAAGGGACTGTTGGCCAAGAAGGACGGGGAGAATCTTGTAACGTTGCTAGTTGTTCTTGTGAGGGGGATGGGGGTTGGTTTGATGATGGAATGCGAACTTGAGTGGTGGGTTCGAAAGCGGGAGCCAGAGAATAACGATGTTTTGAAGAAGGATGGGGAGGGGAGTCGGTAAATCCGTTGGCTAAGGGTGAAGATGCTGGTTTAGGTTTTGAACCAGGAGGAGCAGGATATTGTAAATGGGCAATCTTGGACGCCATACGAGGTGTCATCTCTCTTGGCGAGGTGAGTCTGATTTCTCGGGGTGACAGTTGACGCATGACTATTTGTCAGCTGTGTTCAGGACGGAGTCCACCGGCGAAATGAGGTGATTAACACCGAACATGGAAGTGTCATGGAACAGACAACAAGAAGACTCACTCTTCTCCAGCGTGTCCAATTGCTCAGACATCACCAAACCACTTCCTCTTTTATCACCATCGTCGATCATTTGACGTTGCATCTGTGCAAAATCCCCGTGATGCAGCCCGTTCGGAAGGGGAGTGAGCATTTCCATGACTTCCTCTTCTGTCTTTTCGCCATTATCCCCGTTCCCATGACCACTGGACGTCTCCACATCCGTGAAATAGCTCATGCTGGCTGAGGCGCTCACAGCGCGATCCACTCCAATATCTTGAATGGACAACCGATGTTCTTGCGAAGTCCTAGAAGCTCTCAACGCTGCAAATTCCGAAGCAGCAGAAGGGAAGAGGTCTGCCAACGGGTCATGGTCATTCTGTTCAATTGAATGTGGCTCGAGTGAGGCGGAAGGTGAGGATGTTGAGTCATCATCTTCTAACGCTGGGGAATCGGACGTTGCTGATGACGACGAGGGATGCGTCTCCAATTCTCGAAGGAAGCGGGGGATCACATCTGGGGGAGTAGATCGTCGAAGTCGAAATTCACGTAAACCAGACGTTTCAGATAATGTAGATGCTTTGCGTCGATGTACTCCTGTCCGCCGCCATTCTGTAAACCATGTAGCGACATCGGGGTCGATGTCAAATTCCACAGCACCTACTACTGGAGTGGCCATTGCACTAGAACCGTCAGGTTCGGTAGTCATGCCAGTAGAGGCAGGTGTGGGAGGCATATCAAGCATAAACCCAGCGGCTGGTTCTGCCGATCGAGGTTGTGCTCTCTTGGTAGGAGAAGGTTGCGGCTCTGCAGAGGCACCCCGTAATCGTGCCTTGTTTGAGGTTCCAACGAGCGAAAGGGGACTTGCGGGGAAAGGCAGGTCCCGGGCAAAAGGACTTTGTCCTTTGACGGGCGTATGGGCTGGGGTGGAAGAGCGCGAGGAAGGGGTAGAGTGGAGGTAGATCGAAAAAAGAGTGGACCATGTGCTTGACGAAATGAGAGGACCAGGGTCGTCGGAATCGAGAGACGTTAGTGAGGACGAATCAGGCTCTTTGCCTTTCGAAATAGGTTTGTGGGCTAGGAACAAGGATATCCCAGTGGTAGATGGTAAACCATACTCTCGAGCTATGGAATTGAGCATTGCCTCGAGAGTAGGTTGCAAGGCCAATAATCTCCCTCTCTTCCACCGTTTGACCCTCTGTTCTGCATCATTTGATGTGCTGGGCTTGTTCGGTAGTAGAAAGGCCGGCGGGATGACAGTGAGAAGATAAGGTGTTCTAGCCGGTACAGGAGTCGGTAAGAATCGATTATGTCTACTTGAACCGGTAGAAACTGCCGATAGAGTTGGACTGGCGAGTGTGGGGAAGGTGAAAGATGGCGAGCGTGGAAGATTTGGCATGACGATACCGAAAGATTGAGCTATACGTCCTAGTTGATGAGGAGATAAAGGTCTCGAAGGCGGACCATACTTTCTCTCCACCATATCCTCATCTTCGATCCTGACCACTGGCATTTCGGAAAACTGTTGATCGTTCGTTCTCTCGGTGAAGGGTAAAGATGATCTAGATCCTGCCTCTCTATCTCCCAGCATGCTCATTCCTCTCGCGTTACCAAATGTGGCTAGGCTGGCACTGCTACTGGATCCGTTGGCATACCTCGGATGGACGAGATCATGATCGAAGGTGTCTGAAGAAGGTGAAGGTGTTGAAAGGGGGGATGACCTAGCCGAAGGTTGAGAGGGCCAAGCGAGAAGAGGTGAGGTGATGGAAGGCGCGGTGGATCTAGATGCTAAGAGCATGGTGAGAGTTATAAAGGAGCGTTGAAATAAGAATTGAAGATGTCATGCGGACATTAGGATGGGTGAAACAGAGTAAAGGACGCGTCTTGTTGTTGGTCTTTTGTGTGGCCAAGAAAAAAAAGGATGAATTTCCTGGTTGAGTCGGAATCGCTGGTAGGACGATCAATGTCGAGGACGAGAAAAGAGGAGATGGTATAAATGCAAGGAATGTGAGAGCAGACGGCGTGATTATAGAAAGAGGATATGTATGATAAGCATAGGTGGCCTAGGTGAGATGAGTGAAGGAAAGAAGGAAGGAAAGAAGGAAAGTGTGTGCATGTGGGGTGAACCCTGAACCACCCGCGCGAAAGAGAGTCGTACTCGTACTCGTACTATCCATCCTACGTCTATGATATGAATATCGTCATATGTATCCCGTGCCATGGTCCTCATTTGATCAAGAAGAAAGCGACGGGACAGGTCTAAACATGCATAAGCTACGCTAAAGAGTACTCAGAAGCAAACATGCAAGCCCCGAGGTAATGGTACTCGTATCAGATGCCCCACAAGACCCGGACACGATACTCGCCTCCGAACCGAAACGTCCATCCCACGGTCCTTGGCTCGCGGGTTCACAACCTCAGCATTTCATTTCAACAACCGATTCCTTGGCTCACCGCCCATCATACAGTTCATACATCCCCTCAACACCCGAGACCGTCGGGATGTACTAGTCCCGTATACGAACACAGCTTTAATTTCCACGCGAGGGAGTGGAAATCGTTCTAAGACCGAAAAACTCACACGCACCGCTCCGATCGAAGCCGCTTTCCTCCCTTTTCCTTCAAATCCACCTTTCCCACACCCCTTTTATATCACCATCCATGTCCAGCTTACATAGACTGGCCTGCCTGAATGATCCACCACGTATTCAATGGTTGATCGATTGACTGATCTCAGAGACGCTCTCGTAGGCCTGGTTCCACATCACACTGCAGTCCATGGCCTCGCAAATGAGCCCTCGGGCGGCATCGATGATGGACAACGTGAGACAGTGGATATTGACCCACGTTTCTTGCTGATTCAGGTGAGATGTTCCGTACTGGTATACCTCATTTGGCTCACGTTCTTAGATTAACACTGATTCCGGAATTGTCGAGACAATTGAGAAGCCGTCATATGACCCAAGGGTTTACAATGGCTTACCATATAAGTGTGGTAACTTTGATGTTGCAAGCATCTCTCTGGTCAGGTCAGGACAAGTGATCTCTGACTTTAAAGCAACCAATGGGTGTTTCCCAGCCAAGATAAGAGCACTTTTCTCAGAACCTCCCGTCCATGCCAAGAACTTGAACACACATATATCCCCCCGGTCAGTGGCGGAAGCAATGCAGGCACACGCCAGGTATGTGTCCCCAGGCTTGTAGGCACTGACAGTGCAGTACTTATGGAAACACTAGCTCTTGGGAAATCATTACCACTGACCTCGAGCTTTCTGAATGTGACGATGACCAATCTGTCAGAAATGTGCTGGGGACAGGTCTGACTGTGTACAATGTCTCCCAACTGATCCATGACAGGATTCAGCAGAGCAGTCAGGCACCTATGAACTACTGCTGTACACGTCAGAAACAAAGGGCATTTCAAGTAAGCATACGCCAAATTCCTTCAGATCAATTTCAAGACCTCGTGACCTGGCTACACGGTGATTATACAAGCAGACATCCTTTGCCCCAACTCCTGATATGGCAGTATAAGGTCAGTATATCTGTCACGGCCGTCGAACAACTACTTCTTAATAGACCGACGGTCGACGAACCTCGGCTAACTTCACGCTCTGAGTCGATGTCTCGCCCAACCAGGAGGGCGCAGACGTCGAAAGGGGTGTAACTACGGCGTACTTCGGCGTAGTTACTCTAACTAGGGTTTTGATCTACTGATGGCGATGTATCTTGATTTATAGCTATCTCTATCTGTCTTTTACTACTGACAACAATCAAGGATCGCTGAAGAACTTCAGCGATCTTCTCAGCTAATATTATCTACTCCTCCTAGACGTTCATCCAACCCTCTCGCGCTTTGACGTACTTCAACGCACTTCGTCCAACTTCCCCGAGCCCTCGGCCATCCTCTTCCTCCTTCGACTAACTCCGCCTAACATCGCCGCACTTCTGCTCCCATTGTCCCTACTTAGCCTAACCCCGCCTAACATCGCCGTACTTCTGCTCCCATTGTCCCTACTTAGCCTAACCCCGTCTAACTTCGCCGTACTTGGTGTCAGAAGTCCTGAGTTACGTGTAGAGTAAAGAGGTTAAGGCGTGATGGGGTTTTGATGGCCAAAGGAGGGTCATTGTTGGTGGAGTAATCGAGGTGTCACGACGTAGTTCGTGACAGTCGCCCCCTTCTTTAGCCGCGAACGTCCTCGTGAGCGATTACACCTCTGTCGTGGCAAGAGAACTTAGCAGCGTAGTACCCCATTCTCTCCCTCCCCATGACCATCCTCCACTCTTCTGCTCTTTGCGCCGCACTTCGTAGTTGGGCCTCCTTTCACTCCAGAACCCGACAATGAGACTCCCCTAACTTCGTCGAGGTTTGCCGTAAGAAGCCCTGTGTCTTTTGTAGGTGAGACACGCTTCCTGAATGGCAGCCGAACAACACCGTTGTTTGTCGAAGTAACCCTCGCTTATATTGAGATGAGACACTATAGCGTGGGAATTTTGATCGTCCCTGCGATGCCTTTTGTTGATGAAACGCGAAGTTTGCTGCATGTTGACGACGAGGGGTTAGGTTTGATTATACTAAATACTGAGCAGTTCGTCGACCTTCTCTCTTTTTCCCATCTGCTTTCAAAACTTTCTATCTCTCTTACCTAGAAAACAGATTTGTTACCTTGAATCATCGCCTCGAGTTTTATTCTCATTTAAATATCTTAACGTCATGGCCCCTTCTACTCCTACATCTAACCCTTTCGCCGCCATGAGGAACTTTGGTGGTATGGTGTCGTCTGCTCGTGAGTTATTCCTCGACACTTACCTTACTTCGCCGGACTTGGCTGATGTTCAGTTTCCTTCGGCGACAGATCTCGCCAAGTCTCCTCCCTCGGCCTCGGCACCCTTTCTTTGGGGGAGCCGTCTGGCGATGTCCCGCCTCCTCGCTCCGCTTCTCCTCCCGCCGGTCCTCCCGCTGGTTCTCCCTCTGCTTCTCCTCCTCCTGGTTCTCGCTCTGCTTCCCCTCCTGCCGCCAGCCCTCGCCGCAGGACGCCCGCCTTTCGTCCTGGTGAGTCTCCGTCCTCCTCCGACCAGGAGTCGCTCAGTGGTTCGGAGTCGGACGATCAGTCAGACTTCGAAGGAAAAGGGGGTGATTATAGTGATGAGGATGATAGGATCGTGTCGGAGGGTGAAACCGAGTTAGAGGAACACTCGGATGATGATATGGTGGCGGTTAGTGTAGAGGACAACAACGTAGATAGTCCTGAGCGTGAGTTCTTCGTCCAACCTCTCACACCTTCGCCGAACTTGGCCTTGTTTATCTTATCTGTTCTTTAGCTCTCCAAGACATTGCTAACTCGCAGCCGCTCCTGCCCCTCCCCCTGCTCAAATTGTGGGCCAGAAACGACGCCGTTCCCTCTCCTCTTCTTCTTCTTCCTCTTCTTCTTCTTCCTCTTCTTCTTCTTCCTCTTCTTCTTCCTCTTCCGGGGTTCTCCCCCCCCCCAACGCCATCGCCGCTGCCGCCGCTGCTGCCGCTGCTGCCGCCGCCATCGCTCCTGCTGCCGCCGCCGGTCCTGCTCCCGCCGCCGGTCCTGCTCCCGCCGCCCCCGTCGCTGCTCCCCCCCCTTCTCCCAGAGGGGAGCCTTCGCCCAAACGGGTGAAGAGATCACTGCGGGAAGAAGAGTACTTGTGGGAGAAGATGAAGTCCGAGCCTGGTCGTTGGATCGCGGTTGGTGTTGACGAAGCGTGTGATCGTTGCCGGTGAGTCCACCTATTCGTACTACGCCGAAGTTACTCCTGCTAATTAGTAGACGTGAGATTATCACGTATAATCGTCCAAACTGGCCCTGCCTCAAGGCAGTCAGGCCACACAACAAGGCCCTCCGTTGTGCTTCATGCACGTCTGGCCCCTGCTCCTTCTGTCCCGTTTCCTCTGCCCGGGACATCCCGCCCCGTCCCTTCGACGCTTCTCCCTTCCCCCCTCCTCAGACTCCAGCGTCTGTCCCCCGCTCGCGGGTACCTCCTTCGTCTCTCCGGTCGGTTCGCCGTACTTCGCCGGACCTCCGCCCGTCGCCTCCGTCGCCGTCGCCCTTCGCTCCTGTGGCCGGCCCATCACGTCTCCCGGCTGTTCCTCCTTCGTCTTCTCGCCGTCCTTCGGCCTCTGCTCCTTCGGTCTCCCGTCCTTCGGCCTCTCGTTCTTCGGCCTCTCGTCCTTCGGCGCCACGTCCGTCCTCTCCAGTGGTAGCTTCTCCCCCGGCTCACAGCACCCGAAGTCGGCGTCCTTCTGTTCCTCCGGCCACTTCGGCGGCCCCTCCCGTCACCCCTCCCTCTGCTCCCCAGAAGACACCGAAGTCTTCTTTAAAGAAATCAAAAGGGAAATCTAAAGAGAAGGAGGTTGCCTTCAATGATGGTGATGTGGAAGGTGAAGATACTCAGCGTGCTGGTCCCTCTGCTCCCCGGTTGTCCCTCGTCCACCCTCGTATCTCCCTGGACGTCCGTATTCCTGAGGACGAAAAGGAATTCGCCACTTATCGTTCTCTCGTCCTCGGTCTCACTACTCAGCTTGAGGCTGCCCGAAATGATACATCTCTCCTGCTTGACTTCTCTTCTCGTCAAGCTAACGCTTTAAACAATCTTACTGCGGCGTTAGTAGATGTAGTCAACACTGGGGCTCTGGACGACGAAGCAAGGACAAGGTTAGCGGACGTCTCTCGCCGAAGCCTTACTGAGATAGCCGATGTTCGCCGAAGACTGTTCGACACCCCCTTCCTAGTCACTCCTATGGCGTATGAGCCACCACCGTCCCTTGACTGGTTAGGTCGCCGTAGTAGTTCCCGTGTCCCAGCTTCCGCCCAGACTGCTCTAGACCTCCTCAGTCTTCCCTTCGAGTGTCTACGGACCATACGTTCTCTGTGGAGGACTCCGAGCATGCAAGCTGCTCGAGATGTCCAGGACTTCGGTGACTTCTTTGGGGCTATGAATCGGGCATGGAATGCTTCTCTCTCTACTGCGTTCCCGTCTGAGACTCTCGATCTACCTTCGGTCATCGGTAGCCTCCACACTAATCCCGCGGGACCGAGTAGATCGAAGGAGAAAGGAAAAGGAAAAGGTAAGGGTAAGAGTAAGGACAAGTGAGCGGTACGTAGCTGTAATCCTATGTTGTATGCAGTACGTTCTATCTCCTAGTCCTTCGCAGTCGCCCTTCTTTCGGCTTAGTAGGGTGAAGCTCGTGGAACTTCGCCAATATGTCATCAGCTCCATCGACGTTCTCCACTGGTTCCCATGATACTGAATCGTCTGTTCCTTCGTAACCTAACCACTCCACCAAGTACTCTAACTTTCCTGACCTCTTATTTACTCTAGAGTCCACAATATCCTTTACCTCCCAAGACTCTCCCACATTGTCTACTTCTACTGGCCCAGGTGGCTCCGCTTGCTGACCAGGAAATATTGGAGGGTGATAAGGACGGAGCAAGGAGACATGGAATACATCATGGATACCTGCCATCGTTCCTGGTAATTCCAATTTACAAGCATGAGAACCTACCTGCCGTACTACCTTGTACGGCCCACTTTGCTTAACATCTAACTTCTTCATTGGTCTCTTCGTCTTAATATTCTCTAACGACAGCATCACTAGGTCTCCTTCCGCGAAGTTCGGCGTAGTCCGGTGTTTCCTATTGTATCCTTCGGCGTACTTCTCATTAGCTTTCTCAATTCCTTCGATACAATCTTTGTGTATTTCAGTCAAATCTTTTACCACCACCGTAGCAGCGGGCACTTCGACCTCGCTAGCCTTTATCTCTTCAGCCCAACGAGGGTGATATCCATAGTTCGCATAGAATGGGGTTTTGTTTATCGCAGAGTGCTGGGTGTTGTTGTAAGCAAAGCTAGCTCGAGCGAGTAGCTTTGACCAGTCGTTCTGCTGATAGGAGGTGAAGATTCGAAGATACAGTTCCAAAGACTGGTTGGTTCGTTCGGTCTGTCCGTCAGTCTGTGGATGATATGCAGTAGAGAGATGTAGTCTTATTCCGAGACTATCGGTCAAATTCTTCCAGAACTTGGAGGTAAACTTCGATCCCCTGTCCGATACTATATTCTCTGGCAACCCATGCTGGGCCACCACATAGTCCAATATCAACTCTGATAGGCCGGCTGCGGTTAACTTCGTCGTAGTCGGGATAAAAATGGCCCATTTGGTCAACCGATCCACCACTACCAGGATGGAATTATATCCATGGGAATTTGGCAGCTCCTCGATAAAATCCATCGAGATGCTAGACCAAGGTTTCGTAGCTACCTCCAGTGGTTTAAGCTCCCCATGAGGTTTCTGTCTGTTAGTCTTCGCTCTCTGACATACCGCGCATCCAGCAACATAATCTTCGACATCCTTCCTTACTCCAACCCAGACATAATCCCTCAGGACTAGTTCAAGAGTCTTCGCCGAACCTGGATGACCGGCCAAGGCTGAGTCATGTCGCATCTTCATGATCTTCAGCCGAGCATCGGCGTAGTTCGGCACATAAATGCGATCGTCGAATGTGAGGAAACCTCTTGAGTTCCACCCCCCACGAAGGATTAGAGGAGACCGCGAACTACGGCGTAGTTCGGTGATTGATCCTGGTTCCTGCACGTTATCGTTACACGTAGGATGAGAACACTCAGCGCAAACGACTCCTAATAATTCTTCTCTGACCCCTTCTATGTCTTCGTCCTCCTGAACTCCAAGTACTAGATCCATAGGGTCCACAAGATCATTTTCCTTTACCTCCCTTGTCCCTTGCAATGCTCGAAGGAGGTGACGCAACTCCGACGTGGTGGCGTCAACTTCGTCGAACTTCGGCAGACCTTGGATAAGGTTGCTCTCTTGTACCATGGTACTTCCTTTCCCGGAATGATAGTCCGCCCGTCTAGATAATCCATCTGGAAGACTTGCCTGGGTTCCTGGCCGATAAACCATTTTAAACCTGAAGTTAGCTAGCTCCTCTACCCACCTACCTTGCCGAGGACTGAGTTGTTTCGGTTCCATCCAGTAGGTAAGGTTTAGATGGTCGGTAAGTACTGTGGTTTCCACCTGCAATAATAAGTGTCTCCTTCTTCTGAAACCCTCCACTACAGCGAGGAACTCCTTTTCTCCTACCGTATAATTCAGTTGAGCTGTGTTGAAAGCACCAGACTCAATAGCTACCGGGTGTTCTTGACCAGCCGTGTTGATCTGCGAAATTATGAACCCCCAGCCGAAGAACGACGCATCTGTCTGTAATATCGTCTTCAATGTAGGGTCAAAATGGGCTAACACCGGCGCAGTACACATCCTAGCCTTCAACTCTTTGAAGGCTGACTCCTGTTCGACTCCCCATACAAATGGTACCTCCTTCCTTGTCAAGTCATTGATAGGTCTAGCAATCTTCGAGAAGTTGGGGACAAAGCGCCTGTAGTAGCTTACAACTCCAATGAATCCCCTTGACTCTCGTAGATTCTTAGGACGTGGGAAAGAAGTGATGGCATCAATGTATTCTGGGTTCACCGATACACCTTTAGAGGATACCACGAAACCCAGAAACACCACCGAATCTCTTTCGAACTCGCACTTACTAGCTTTCACGTACAGGCTCGCCTTCCGCAGTACCTCAAAGACCTTCGCCGTAGTTCCTCGTAATTCCTCCAACGTATTCCCATAAATGAGGATATCGTCAATGTAGACCACGACTCCATTCCCTAGTAGCTCTCTAAACACCTCATTTAGGAAGTGTTGGAAGACCGCGGGGGCGTTTCGCAGCCCATCACGAACAACCAGAGATTCAAACATACCATACTGTGTCCTGAACGCCGTCAGGTGTTCATGTCCCTCTGTCACCCTCAACAATTGGTATGCTCCAATTAGATCTAGTTTGCTGAAATACCTTGCTTTTCCAAGTTCTTCGGTAATTTGACCTATTAGAGGGAGAGGGTAGGCATCTGGTATGGTCGCTTCGTTCAGTTTTCGATAGTCGATGACCATTCGCCACTGTCCTTCGGCTTTCTTCGGTATCATAAACATTGGTGAGCCGTATGGCGAGTTACTTGCCCGAATTCGGCCAGCGGCGATTTCGCGATCTAGTATGTCTCTCAGCGCGCGTCTCTGATCTTCTCCTTGAGCATAGAGGGAGGCGACCTTAAGGTTCGCCCCCTCCTTAAGCTCAAACTTCAAATCGTAGGACCTTGAAGGGGGAAGGGTCTCTCCTCCCTTCTTCGGATTAAAAACGTCAATGTACTGGTGGTATTGTTCAGGAACTACCTGGAACAACTCGTCTTGTTCCTCCGGGCTCAGCTCTTCAAGCTCATCTTCGCCGCGGCGGTCTATCGCGTCCGTCAGAGTCGGCAGCCCTATGGCCGCTAACTTCGCCGCACTTGGTGGGGTTGGGATGGGAAATTTCACCGAGTTGTCTCTTCCATCAAGGACAACCCCTTCCTTCCTCATCCAATCCCACCCTATCACAACATCTGCGTCGCAGAGGGTTGTTACATCGAGACAAACAGATCGCACTTCGGCGTCCTTCGTCAAACTAAATCCGACTTCGACAAACTCGGTGATGGGTCCAGCGACACTCACCGAGCCGTCGAACATGTGAACGGGTACGCTCACCTGATATTGTCTCCTTTCTGCGCCTATCTTCGTCGCCGCTCTAGGACTTATATATGAACAAGTAGCCCCGGTGTCCCAGAGCGTAGTTAGCTTCATTCCATTAATGAAAATGTCCGATTTAGGTTGATCTCTGGAAACGGAAGGGATGAGGAGATGATTATCGACATTGCATGAACAAGGGGTACTGAGTGGTGTATTTTTGTATTCACAATCCTCTGGCTCCATCAGCTGTGTTTCTTTTATGGGTTTGGGAATGGTGGCCGAGAGAATATGGCGGACCCGCCGAGCCTCGCCTACTGCGACAGGTCCTCTTCTTTTCCCTGGTCCTCTTCCAAATCTACTTCTCCTCCAACCGCATTCAAGTTCCTCCTCTGTCCGAGAGGTACTGCGTTCCCTCCCGATCCTCCACCACGTTCTCCGAACTTCTCCCCCCATGGAGGCAACAGTCCAACCTTAACCTTAGCCTCCCTTACAGGGCATTCCTTCAGCCAATGTCCTGCTTCACCACACTCGGTACACTTCCCCTCCTTCCTCCTTGTCTCCCTCAGATCGGAGCTCGGCCTAGGCCATCTTCGGCGAACTTCGTCGATGTTTGACGGTGTACTCTTTACCACCGTCGACCTCATAGCCGCCTGGGCACCACCCTGCGCCGAAGGTTGCCCCTTTTCCCATTTCTTCTCTTCTTTCTTCTCCGTCCTCTGACTTTCCACCACTGTCGTTGTCCTTATCCCTCCTTCCCTTTTCCTCTCTGCCTCCTTCTCCACTTGTCTCCTCCACAGGCGGTTGTCCAAGGGAATCACAAACTCCAATAGCTCTTTTACAGTCCCAAACGATCTACCGTGTCTTGCGATTTCATCTAGAAGGTGCGATTTTAGTCCTTTCTTGGCTCGGTCAACTAGGTTTCCATCATCAGACCACTTGAGAATCGCAACATGTCGCTGAAAGGCGGAGAAGTAGTCCGAAGCAGACCCGGTTTGCTTGAGGTCGTTAAGTTGTCGGGCCGCAGTTCCTTCTTCGTCTGGATCACCAAAGTTAGTCTTGAGGTACTTAACGAACTGATCGTGTGTCGTGAGGTACTCAGGAAGAGGTCTTTTGGATAGATCGGGCTGCACTGCAAGAAGAGGTGTTTCGCGTAGATGAGAGATCATGAAAAAGACTTTCTTAGTGTCGTCGGGGAAAAGATGAGAGTTCAATTCGAAGTGTACGTCGCACTCAGACAGAAAGGCGGTTAACTTGTTCCGATCTCCTCTCCATAGGTCTGGGTTAGGTAGCTTTATCCCTTTCCGTTGTTCGCCCGCTACGCTTGGGGTCGCCGAAGTTTGCCGTCCCATGGCGTACCTCACCCCTTCTGATATCCCTTCTGCAATCCCGCCCACTGTATCCCTTTCTCTTCTCTGTTCCCATTCCTCCCTACGTCTTCTCTCCTCCATCATGTCTTTGTTCATATTCGCCACCATCTGCATCAAGGCCAACACCACCCCTTGTGTTCCTTCTTCTCCCAAGTTCGCCGTACTTCCAGTGTTTTCTCTTGGGCGTGGGGTTTGGTCTGATCCAAGTGGGGATCCCACAGGTGGGAGAGCATTAGACGGAGGAGAAGGAGGGTTAGAAAGCACCGGTGGAACGAACTCATCTCCTTGAATTGACCCCCCCACACTATCCTCAACTCCAAGGTCCTGCCCCATTGCTCTGCTAAGCTCCTCCAATGCTCTCCTCTCGTTCTCCTCCATCCTGTCTCCATCCCTACTCATGCCTCGTGTAATTCTTCTTTCTGGTTCCATATTATCTTCGTACTTCTCCGAGGTTCGCACGGGTCGTCGGTAAGAGCGATCCTTGATACTGTCACGGCCGTCGAACAACTACTTCTTAATAGACCGACGGTCGACGAACCTCGGCTAACTTCACGCTCTGAGTCGATGTCTCGCCCAACCAGGAGGGCGCAGACGTCGAAAGGGGTGTAACTACGGCGTACTTCGGCGTAGTTACTCTAACTAGGGTTTTGATCTACTGATGGCGATGTATCTTGATTTATAGCTATCTCTATCTGTCTTTTACTACTGACAACAATCAAGGATCGCTGAAGAACTTCAGCGATCTTCTCAGCTAATATTATCTACTCCTCCTAGACGTTCATCCAACCCTCTCGCGCTTTGACGTACTTCAACGCACTTCGTCCAACTTCCCCGAGCCCTCGGCCATCCTCTTCCTCCTTCGACTAACTCCGCCTAACATCGCCGCACTTCTGCTCCCATTGTCCCTACTTAGCCTAACCCCGCCTAACATCGCCGTACTTCTGCTCCCATTGTCCCTACTTAGCCTAACCCCGTCTAACTTCGCCGTACTTGGTGTCAGAAGTCCTGAGTTACGTGTAGAGTAAAGAGGTTAAGGCGTGATGGGGTTTTGATGGCCAAAGGAGGGTCATTGTTGGTGGAGTAATCGAGGTGTCACGACGTAGTTCGTGACAATATCTCACCTTCATCATATCTCATCTCCATGTCCTCTGTTCCATATTGATCAGTGCTCACACTGAGAAGTTTTGGAACGCCCAGAAACACTCCAGTACCCAAAAGGAGGAAGCACTCATACTTGCAACTACTAAGGTGAAGGAAGTAACAGCACTCTCCACTCACTCTGAGGGACTGAAGACCTTTGCTGAATTTTTGGTGGACCGTGTTGGTATCTTGTGGTGAGCTGTACTTCTGGAAATCACAAATGTACCTAACAGGCAGTCCCCTTGGAGACCCTTCAAGTATTCAAGAAACTTGTAACGACTTGGAATGGGATTTCAAATGGGGGCGACAAAGCAAAGGGGAGCGGACCATTGAAGTGACAGGCAATGTAAACCCCATGAAGATCCAATGGGAAGTTGTCCAAAGTAACTCAAGGGTTCAGGAGTTTGATCCTCATCTGGTCAGTGCCTTGGGACAGTTCTGCAGGACAAAAATGAACACACACTCACCTGATCCTGTATTGATTGAGGTGCAACAACAGCTCAACATAATCTGGGGCAAGACATGCACATTCATACAGAGAGAGGTACTAGACCCTGTTTTTAGCATGGCAGAAATAGAGAGTCTCAATGACATTGAGGATCCTCCCCCATCTTATGAATATGCTGTCACAACCGGCTAACACAGTGTCGTGACCCATGACCCTGAGCGCCACATACTGTGACACAAGGAAAAACAAGGAGACACAAGGAGACACAAGGAGACACAAGGAGACACAAGGAGACACAAGGAGACACAAGGAGACACAAGGAGACACAAGGAGACACAAGGAGACACAAGGAGACACAAGGAGACACAAGGAGACACAAGGAGACACAAGGAGAGTCAAGGAGACACAAGGAGAGTCAAGGAGACACGAGGAGTGTTGAGGAAAGATGATATTGATTGTGTATCAGACCATCCTCAAAAAGTATAAATACTGCACCTATCTACTTTGTAGTTTCTTTTCACCAAGGATCAAGATATCATTTGCCACTTCACAAAAGACCTCTTGATGACATCTACTATAATAAAAGAAGATGTCGAGCTAACTTGGGGGGATAAACCACGTGGCTAGCGGCGACGCCCGCAGACCGGAAGCGAGACGATAAACTAGGATTTTGAGAGAGCGAGACAGTGAGGCAGCAAGAGAGAGAACAAAGAGAGAGACAGAGAGAGAGAGAGAGAACAGAGAGAGAGAACAGAGAGAGAGAACAGAGAGGGAGAACAGAGGGAGAGAGATGGAATAGGGAGAGAGAGAGGAAAGAGAGAGAGGAGAGAGTAGCTACGGGTTCACGGGTCTGAGAGGAAGAGAGAGGCCACGGATTCACGGGTTACAAACCAAAAAAGAAGGAGACGGGCCTGTCAATTGGACAGGTTAGCATCCTAGTACTACTTACTTCAAATCAACCCTCATCATCATTATCCTCATCAAGGCCATCACATATGCTGTCTGTCACGGTCGTCGTTTCTTTGTCACGAACTACGTCGTAACATCCCTGACAACCACCATCACCGACCCTCCTTTCACCATCACCGACCTTCCTTTTCACCACCACCAACCTCCACTCGAACCACTGAGACCAACTACGGCGAAGTTACGAGAACCAAGAGGGTATTTGTCACGATAACCCCGGCTAGCGGAGAACTACGGCGAAGTTAGAGGAAGGGAACCGAGGGGGAGCAGAGCAGGGAAAGTAGGCGAAGTTAGTCGAGGTGAGAGGAGTAGGATATTGGAGATATGGCGAGGTACGGCAAAGTTGAGCAAAGAGGACTGAGCGCAAGGCTGTGCAGGAGTTGAGGGACGTTCTATGAGAAGAGAGGAGTAGTATAGATAGTTTACAGATCGCTGAACTTCCTCAGCGATCCTTGATTGTTGTCAGTAGTAAAAGACAGATAGAGATAGCTATAAATCGAGATACATCGCCATCAGTAGAACAAAGCCTTAGTTAGAGTAACTACGCCGAAGTACGCCGTAGTTACACTCCTTTTCGACGTTTGCGCCCTCCCGGTTGGGTGAGACATCGACTCAGAAGCGTGAAGTTAGCCGAGGTTCGTCAACCGTCGGTCTATTAGGAAGTAATTGCTCGACGGCCGTGACATTCTTGTTCTCTATTGACCGACGGTCAACAAACCTTGGCTAACTACGTTGGACTATGGTGTCGATATCTCCTGAGACAGTGTCACAAAGCGTGTGACAAGTTGAGCAAAAGTCGGGGAAGGGTATTTAACCAGCGATCGGTGGCAGGGTTAACCGCCAATTAATAGGCCTTTTTGTCACAGTGGTTAACAACACTGTCACGTTGGGCACTGTTATATCAAGCCAATGCTGGTTAGTTGGTCCTTGTCACGAACTACGTCGTGACACCTCGATTATTCCACCAACAATGAACCTCTTTTGACCATCAAAACCCCCATCACGCCTTAACCTTTGTACTCTACACGTAACTCAGGACATCTGAGACCAAGTACGGCGAAGTTAGACGGAGTTAGGCTAGGTAGGGACAATGGGAGCAGAAGTACGGCGAAGTTAGACGGAGTTAGACTAGGTAGGGACAAAGGGAGCAGAAGTGTGGCAATGTTAGGCGGAGTTAGTCGAAGGAGGAAGAGGATGGCCGGGGACTCGGGGAAGTTGGACGAAGTGCGTTGAAGTACGTCAAAGCGCAAGAGGGTTGGATGAACGTCTAGGAGGAATAGATAATATTAGCTGAGAAGATCGCTGAAGTTCTTGTTACGACCCTGTCGTAACCCATATGATAGAAGAAGGAGTTGTATACGTCAGGATATCCAAATGGTGTGATACAATTGGTAAAGGACAAATGGGAGATACAAATGGGATAAGCAGATGGTATAGTCAAATGGTATAAGCAGATGGTATAGGCAAATGGTATAGCCAGATGGTATACGCAAATGGGACATCCAAATGGTATACACAGATGGTAGACATAGGATGGAAAAGGACAAACTGGATATACCATCTGTTCGAGGAGAATGTCTATATAAACCCCCTTGTAGGATCCTCTTTCTCAAGGATCAATATATTTTCTTGCCACACCTCAAAGATCTCGACTTAACCTTGCAACTCGACTTCGACCTCAACATACCTTCTCTTACTATCGACACCCCTCTCCTCATCATCTCGACTTGCCAGATCCTTCCAAGTCACTCAGCTGTCCGACCAGCTTCACAAGTCTACGAGCTACACTTCGTTCGTCGTAGCTCAAGCTTGTAAACTACTTCAGTCCACCTGTCTCTTGTGTCTTAGAGATCTGCTAGGGACAGGTCGTGACAGTTCTTCAGCAATCTTTGATTGTTGTCAGTAGTGAAAGACAGATAGGGATAGATATATACAAATTGAGATACATCGCCATCAGTAGAACAAATCCCCAGTTAGAGTAACTACGCCGAAGTACGCCGTAGTTACACTCCCTTCAACGTCTGCGCCCTCCTGGTTGGGTGAGACATTGACTTAGAAGCGTCAAGTTAGCCGAGGTTTGTCAACCGTCGGTTTGTTAGAAGATAGTTGTTCGACGGCTGTGACAGTCCTCGTGACAGACAGGGTACTCGTCGAGGGAACTACGGCTAACTTCGCTGTAGTAATACGTCGAGTGGTAAATGATAAGGTGATTGGCAATGAACTGCGGCTAACTTCGCTGTAGTACATCGAACTGCTCGGTGGTAGCTCTCCTTAACTCAAAGGTTGTAGTTACTGAATATATTGCTCGCCACTGACAACCATCAAGGATCGCTGAAGAAGTTCAGCAATCTGTAAACTATCTATACTCCCCCTCTCGTCTCATAGAACGTCCCTCAACTCCTGCACAGCCTTGCGCTCAGTCCTCTTTGCTCAACTTTGCCGTACCTCGCCATATCTCCAATATCCTACTCCTCTCACCTCGACTAACTTCGCCTACTTTCCCTGCTCTGCTCCCCCTCGGTTCCCTTCCTCTAACTTCGCCGTAGTTCTCCGCTAGCCGGGGTTGTCGTGACAAATACCCTCTAGGATCTCATATCTTCGCCGTAGTTGGTCTCAGTGTTTCGGATGGTAGTTGGTGATGGTGAGAGGAGGGTCGGTGATGGTGGTTGTCGGGGATGTTACGACGTGGTTTGTTGTTGATAAGTAATGCCATGTAACTACGTCTTGAAACTGTTTATAGATGTGATACCATCCGTAGTCTTTGATGCAATTCTTGCTATCATCGTAATCGTACTCGTCATACACATTTGAACAGATTAAAAGTCTCAGTACCTCTGTGTCACGAACTACGTCGTGACACCTCGATTATTCCACCAACGATGACCCTCCTTTGACCATCAAAACCCCCATCACGACTTAACCTCCTCACTCTACACGTAACTCAGGACACCTGAGACCAAGTACGGCGAAGTTAGATGAAGTTAGGCTAGGTAGGGACAATGGGATCAGAAGTAAGGCAAAGTTAGATGAAGTTAGGCTAGGTAGGGACAATGGGATCAGAAGTACGGCGAAGTTAGACGGAGTTAGGCTAGGTAGGGACAATGGGAGCAGAAGTGCGGCGAGGTCAGGTGGAGTTAGGCAAAGGAGGAAGAGGATGGCCGGGGTTCGGGGAAGTTGGACGAAGTGTGTTGAAGTACGTCAAAGCGCGAGAGGGTTGGGTGAACGTCTAGGAGGGATAGATAATATTAGCTGAGGAGATCGCTGAAGTTCTTCAGCGATCCTTGATTGTTGTCAGTAGTAAAAGACAAATAGAGATAGCTATACATCGAGATACATCGCCATCAATAGAACAAAGCCTTAGTTAGAGTAACTACGCCAAAGTACGCCGTAGTTACACTCCTTTCGACGTCTGCGCCCTCCTGGTTGGGTGAGACATCGACTCAGAAGCGTGAAGTTAGCCGAGGCTCGTCGACCGTCGGTCTATTAGGAAGAAGCTGCTCGACGGCCGTGACACTCTGGACTTAGTGAAGATATTGCACCGATTGTACACACTCGAACGTGCATACGAACCAACCCGACGAGACATCGGGAACCGTACGACGAACCGTACACGAAGCACCGTACTGGTGTAGTAGAATAAGGACAGTCCAGCTTTGGTTGTGACGTAGATGTCGCCTGGTAGACGTATAAAATCCAGTCCGTGCTGGTGGCGTACACAGTAGAGGCCTCTGGTGTACGTCTTGCGTACAATAAGTCCTCTATGAGAATCTATTATTGTAATATGATTCATAAGATGAAATTTAAGCACAATGTCGCACAATTGTTTGACTACGATTGGACTCGAATCCGTACCCATACTGTTGAGTCAAAGCAACTACTTCGATTGGAAACTTGCCATAGAAAACTATCTCCTTATCCATGGATGTCTTGGGATAATTGAAGGTACGGATGTCGAAGCGTACCGCCAACCTACGATTGCTCGTACGGTTCGAGCAGGCTCAGTCGTACCTACAGCCGAGGAGATTATCACCCACATCTCACTTGATTCAGATGATGAAGAGCGCTGGGAATTGTGGCGTAAACGCAAACTTCAAGCTCAAGGTGTGATCATGAGTAAAGACAAACGCGGTTTGCTCATTCATCTACAATCTCTTCAAACCGCATACAAAATGTGGAAATTCCTTGCAACAGTTATGCAACAAACACCCGAACATTGTATGGATGTCAAACGCAAGCTACGAATGCTTATGCTCAAGTTGCACCCTACGGATACGGAGATGACACAACACCTGCGGAAGTTTAACCTACTCTAGCTTGAAGCTGAAGAGTCAGGATGCAAGTTCTCAGCTGATACTCGTGCGCTTTGGTTCCTTGATTTGCTTCCTTGAAGCGATTTCAAAGTCATGTGATCTCTCTACATTAACCTTCCTATGGAATCAAAGACGTGGGCCAAACTTCGACGCTTGTATCAAGTTGAAGTCGC